ACAAGAATGATAACTCTACCTTTTATAATTGTTGTGTTATTGTCCTTTGTTCTTTTTCATACTTAATTTTTCAATTCAATTTTTTTCTCAAAAAGTATTTGAGGTATCAACTTGAAACTTCATAGGTGGATAGATTTTACTGAGGAGGGATGCAGCACACAATAATGATAACCTACCCTGCATTATTGTTCAGTACTTGCCCTTTGTTATTTTCAGCCATCAGTATTCACATAGGTTTCAAATCTGTTATCACTATAGCCATCAGTTTTCATTACCAAAAGACCTCTTAAAATGGAATTATTCCGCTCTACTACATATACATTCTTCCAATGAGCAAACACATTCGGCGGGGGATGGCCATGTTGACATGGCTCTTGTTTTGAAGGGTTACAGCATAGACCTAGCGTTTTTGATCCAATTTTGTTACAGTTTATACCCAGATTTCTGTTACAGTTTAGATACTTGCCAAATTTCAAACAAAGTTCGTGTTTCCATTATTTTTATGAAATAACTCATACCTTTATATTTAATACAGTCTTGAAAGGTTGTATTACTTTTTTCTTCAGCAGAAAAGTTATAGTTTGCAATTTTTCTTACTTTAAGTTTCAAATTGAGACTTTGCAGAATAAGTAATGTTCCAAGTAAGGACTGTTTTCACGACAACAACAGTAACTTTTATCGAATTGTATTGAGAGAAGAAAGATTATTGCTTGATTTCATTACACATTATAATAATGCCTTTTAGAAATAAAATAGAGAGAAAAAAGAATCCTTAACAGAAATCAAACACGGTAAACATGAAAATGTTGCAGGCTCAGTTTGATTAAACCTGTTCATGGACGGTAGTGGTAACTGCAAGCTACCGTCCACGCCACCTAGCACCGGCTTCAGCAGAATTCACATTAAACATGAACTGGTACACTTCAGATTTTTTTTAACATCTGCGGATGTGTTCATATGGCGGTTTTCATAAAACCTTCAATGTGACACGTTATTGCCATTCTATGAAAAGCGGCATATTACCCCCAGGTTAAAAATTGCGTGTGTCCTAAACGAGAATACAATAAGTGAAACTAAACAAAATGAAATTTTGAGAGGGGATCGGAGGTTATGAATCCTGCATACCATAGATAAGCTGTCAAAAGACACAATTAACAAGCAGGCATTGCCCTATGATTAAACAGTATTTAAGTGAGCAATACTGCAACCTTAAATTTTATTTTAAGTTGGAATTTCCAACTACCATAATGTATTTTGTAAGTATTTAAAAGGGTTTGTTACGTTTGGCTTTCTTGGATTTTAAGTTTCAACGACACTGAGGTCATGTGAAAACATTCCTGCTTTAGTGTAAAGAAAGACCCCAGATACCCTTTGTGAAACATTTCAGACACGAGCGGGCACCTGACTAGTACCACCGACCTTCCGTAAATTAGCTTGATAGATTTATCACATACAAAGAATCCAAAAAAAATAGAGAAAAACAGAATCCCTAAAGAAAGTCCAACACGCCAAAATTGAAAATGTTGCAGGCTCGGTTTGATTGAGCCTGTTCATGGACAGTACTGAAAAGTACATGTCGTGCTGAACGATCTTCAAGGATCGAAAATATAACATCACTAATTAAATGTACGGGGAGACTTTGTACAGCCGCCACACGGCACAAATAACACGGATGTGACAATTAAATAGAGAAAAACAGAATCCCAATGATTGGATTTCAACTACAGCAGTAAATGAAAGATGATTTGAGGTCGACAGCCTTATCCCGACTCTGTCGCTATTATGTACCTCCATCAGGCTCATTAGAGAAGATATTGTAATTGTCTGACCTTAATTTATACTCTTTAACTATCAATATTATTTTCTTTTCAGAAACATGAAAACTGCTATACAGGATGTCTGAAATAAAAAAAACGACTTTTAATTTAATAATGACAAAATAATCGTAACTTCAACAAAGAAGCATTCGAAATGACGCCATGATCATGATTTGATTTGAAATGCTTTTGGTTCGAGATGAAAAGCTAGGGTCTTTAAACATTGCCTTTTTTTCAAAATCTATGTTTTGGGTTTTCGTATCCCCGATTGCAACCGAAACCATTTGAACAACTTAATTGGTAGAAAGTCATGTAAATTTTATCATATTTAGTCAAGTAGTTACTGAGCGGATGAGATTGCACACACATGTGTATATATGATCAATACTTGAAGCATTTTTTCTGTTCATTAGCCAAAGGCAAGTTTTTGTTGATATTTGCTAATAAAAGTTGTTGTTGTTCTTGTATTATATCATTTACTTTTTTATTTATTTGTCAAGAGGATTAAAATCTGAAGAGATTGGTCAGCTTTTGATCTTGTTTACATTGTCATTTTAGAATCAAGAAACTAACTAAATTCCGGACCGGATAAAACGAGTACGCCCCCAGATACATTCAATTTAAACTTGGTGCTAGAAAACTATTGAAATAACAGTTACAAAATAGCTGAGCATTCTTTTTTAAAAGCAAAAAATGAAAATCCGCTTACATTTCAAAAATATGAATGTAAAAAACTTTCAAATGATATAAGAATCTAAAAAATCGATCCACAAATGAAAAAGTTATTAGAATTTAAAAATTCTAGTGCTATATAATGCATATAAATATTGGTTCTTCTTGCCAAATCTGCTAAATTCTGGTAGCAGGTGCTTGTGATGTCATCAGTCAACTTGCCAATATGTCCTTTGCTATTTTTAGAAACACACGCGTAATACCCATGTCTATTTTAGTATCGCGCTGGAATTCCATAACGTGTATTTGTAATTAGAAATTACGATCTTGGACAGAATGGCGTAGGAAGGATGATTGTTTGAAATAATAAAGGTATTTACAATCCTTACTTACTCATTTTATGTCATTTTGCAGTGTCAACAGGTTTTTGTTCATTATTTAAAAATACTGTACAGTACAAAGGGGGGTTGTAACGGTGCCTGGACTCTATATTTGGGTCATTTGTGACCAAAACTAGGTCCAGACCCAAAAAACAGGCACCGTTACAACCCCCTTTGGTACAGTACATGGACCTTGAAAAATCTCCAGTGACTGAGTCATGCCAGAGAGATATACCTCCCTGGCTAAATCTGAACATTTTGCAATGTTCATAGCAACATCATATGATGTATAATGCATAGAAGTTATATCTATTTAACCATCATCGGACTGAATGTTATTATGAATGTCGTCAAAAGTTATTTAAAATTAATTTATTTATGAAAAAAGTATAAAATTCTAAAAGGCCCTATGATATGACTAATATTTGGGTTTTCAATTTTTGTGATTTCTTTGGAGTAGAGCAGATATTAATCAAATATCTTTGTCTAAGTTTGTTAAGGTATTTTTGCTTGCTTTAATGAGATCTATACATTAAGGCACAATTAAGTGATATATACAATTCTAACTATTAAAGATGTCATATGAATTATACAAGAGCCATGTCAAAAGGTAGAGTTATCATTCTTGTGCACTGCACACCTTCTGAGTTAGATCTATACACCTATGAAGTTTCATGATGATATCTCAAAGGCCTTTTGAGTTATGCTCTGGACAAAAATTAATTTTGAAAAATAACAAAGGGCAATAACTCAAAAATTATGCAGGGTAGAGTTATCATTCTTGTGCACTGCACTCTTCCTCAATGAGATCCATCCACCTATGAAGTTTCAAGTTGATACCTCAAATACTTTTTGAGATAAGCTCCGGACAAAATTGTATGAAAAAGAACAAAGGGCAATAACTCAAAAATTGTACAGGGAAGAGTTATCATTCTTGTGCACAGCATTCTTCCTCAATAAAATCTATCCATCTATGACATTTCATGTTGCCATCTCAAAACACTTTTGAGTTATGCTCCACTCGGGTGAAAAATTAGGTATGAAAAATAACAAAGGGCAATAACTCTAAGATTATGAAAGGTAGAGTTATCATTCTTGTGCACTGCACACCTCCTGAGTGAGTTCTATGCACCTATGAAGTTTCATTTTGATATCTCATGGGCTTTTGGAGTTATGCTCTGGACAAAAATTAATTTTGAAAAATAACAAAGGGCAATAACTCAAAAATTATGCAGGGTAGAGTTATCATTCTTGTGCACTGCACTCCTCCTCAATGAGATCCATCCACCTATGAAGTTTCAAGTTTATTACTCAAATACTTTTAAAGATATGCTCCGGACAAAAATGTCAGAAGGAAGGTCGGACGGACGGTTGAGACTATTTCTATATCCCCCGCAGTTTTTTCGGCGGGGGATAATAATGTGCTATTGTATATTGGAATATTGGGCAAGTTTTGTCCAAAGGCTAAATATCCCAAAGGGTAACCTACATTTTAACAAGAAACAAACAAACACAAATTAAATGAGCACACTTTTTAAGTTCATATATAGGACTTAATTAATTCATGTTGCAGTCAAGGATACTAACCTTGAATGACCTTCAAAGATAGACATTTCAAAATTGTACATGTTATCTGAAAATAAACTAGGTCTTCTGCATGGTGAATATATAGGAGCAAATCATTTAGTTTTATCACAAACTTCAAATGACAATTTAAGACCATTGTTTTATTACTAGGCATATGTACCTTTAACGAAAAGTTTACAACCTTTAATTTTTTTCTTTTTATATATCTTGTTTAATAATTTCTGAATTTGTTTTTTTGGGGGCTACCGATCGTTATATTTTCAAAATGGTGCCGTTTACCCTGTTGGTAACTTGTGTTACCAAGACAACCCATCATAAACATTAGATCATTCTTGTCAGCCTTGGCAATTGAAATAGTGCCAATAGGCCCAGGTTTACTGAACTACTTGCAAATACTTGTTGACATGACTTCAATTTTACCATGACTGTGTAACACAAGACGCCAAAAGTATCTACTATGTAGTCGTTCGTAAAGCGTTACGGACATTTGACAAGCTCCCTCTTTGTATATGATTCTGTAATAGTTTTACTTTTCAGTCTATTCAACACTGTTGTACAGCATTCACCGGAAACAGTCCCTAAAATTTTGCTAAATGCAGCTTGAGTTGTTGGGTGATCACTCAAATACAAGTATAGAGGGAAATCTGTATTTTATATTAAAAACGGATTTTGATACAGATAATGCGTTTCGACTTGATTTAGTGGTAAATATCAAAATTGTTCGCATATGTCAACAAATACCTTACAATTTATTGCCAATTTAACAAAAAATATTCAATTTGCAGAAAAAGCAAACATTTCTCTAAAACCAGACATATTCAACTTCACAGAATTGTTTAGTGTAACTGTAAACTGTAGTTCTTTTTTTCGATTTGGAACTGGTGCCAGAATTGACAATTGAAGAATAATGTAAGATTTATGTCATTCATAATAAAAATATTAACATAATTATTTAGATGGAGTTTTGCCTTTCGTACTCCCGGTTGATGTAAACCTGACTTTTTGATCATGGTGTAGACCAGATAAGGCCAGAAAACGAAATAGCTTGCAACTGAAGCCCGCTCTAATACAAGCAACTTCCAAGGTTATGCAAAGTGTTTGATAAAACGGCTTATAAACTCACGAAGATCCAATATTCTATGGAAAGCTTATATTTTTCCCCGTAGACTGGTGAATATCCCAAAGAAATTGGTACAGAAATGAAATATTTACGGCTATTTTCTGTTCCGAATCGAGCAACATTTGTCTTGGAAATGATGCCGAAAATGACGTCAATGTCACGTGGTATTGCCACACTGTGTACATAAACTCATCAAAAAGAAATATATAATACACGGAAACCGTGCTAATGTGGGTCCATTTATGTATACATGTATCTATAGATGTCCTATATTATTTCATTGCACAGAGTTCGTAATTGAGAATCCACAGGAACAAAAATTACCAATTTAATGTCTTCATAAACTAACGTTTGATTATAAAATGAAATAAAGATAAATGTACAGTACTGTATATGTCTTTAAAACTGATGAATGAATAAAATTAGTACTGTACTGTACGTAGGGGTCGCCGAATGTATGTAGAATGATTGTACAGTAGTGAACGAATTGAATAAAATCATATTATACGCCGCGTTTTATGTGATAATACTGTAAATAGACGTACTTAATTGTTCAATCAGAGACATATAGATATAGAGGATATTGAATGAGTGTAAGTTCAATACTGAATTTATTGCACGAGTTGAATAAAATTATATTATGCGAGCCTCTGGCGAGCATAATATTATTTTATTCAACGAGTCCAATAAATTCAGTATTGAACTTACACGAATTTAATATTCTATTTATCACATACCAAAAATAAATACAGTTTAAAGTGAAATAAGAGTCATTTTTCATTGACGCGCCTATAGTATAACGCCAACATTTAGCGCGTCTTTACACTATGTTTGTATCACATCAAAATATATGCACAGCCGTGCAATACCATATTTACGGAGTCGCAAAATCGGCACGGGTGTGTGATAAAACATTTATCTATGTCTCTGGTTCAATATATTATAATTTATTATATAAGGGGAGCAGTGGCCTAGTGGTTAAGGTGTCTGCCTCTCAACCCAGAGATCATGGGTTCGAGCCCTACACGGGTCACGACCATGTTTCTTCATATGACACCAGTACTGGTTGGTTCCAGGAAGCGGAGTCGAAAGTGATTGATATAAGTTGCAAGAACTTGTTTCGCAATCGAGCTAAAATAAATATGTTTTAAACCAATTCATTAATTAATGACATTTGCGTCATAACTTATATAATTATAACAAAATATTGATGAAAAAAAACCACTTTATATAAACCATGTCTACTTTGCCTTTAATCACTATGTAACAGAAGATCCACGAAACAACTTTCGCACCTCTTCATAAATTAAGTTCGCAGACGAAATCACCATAATTCCAGGGGGGGACCAGTCTGGAAAGCGACTGGAAAGTGTGTTTTGTTCAGAAGATGTATGTAAAACTATATTGTCATTTAATTGCATAATGTAGATAAAAAGAAAGTGTCAGATTTCAGTGTTTGTCTGTGTATTCCTTATCTTGCTTAATTGATTGTGATGTGAACAGTCTCAGACTCGAGGTCACTGTACAGGACGTCTCGGCCCCATACCAAATCGGCACCAGTGGAAAAATCGGCCCCTGGACGTTTCGGCCCTTTTCCGCGAGACGATTCGGCCCTACTATATAGTACAGACAATTAATTAACAACAATTAATTTAATTACAATTAAACAATTATGACACTTTAATTCTTTAAATTATTTTTTTATTATCTTTTAATCCATTCAGATATACATTTAATGTCTTTAAAGGTGTAACAAACAATAAAGGCAGGTTAATACTTAATTTATAAAACAAACCACTAACACTTCTGGTTTAAGAAAGTTAATTACAATTATTCCTTAGAAAAGATAATCTTTTGATCTTAAGTAAACTATACATATTTTTTTTCAAGGTGTAACTAATTAACTGTTTATAGCTTTATGTAAGTAATATCAGAGAAAACTTCTAAAGATTTTTTAAAAAACCAAAAAACGGTTTGCTATAATCTCCTGATAATATTTTTAATTATTATTGTTATTAGATAATGATAGATGCTAGATGTTATAAAAGTGATTGAAAGTTTGAAACCAAATTATCAAATAATGCTTATAATGTACCTGCTATATATTTTTTAATTAGTTTAATCAAACAATGTTGACAGTGACAAAAGAATTATAGATATTATGGCTTCTGTTTTCTTTTCATTGTAAAATTACATGACCAAATGTTTCGATTTTCACGTGCCTTACCTGATAATTAAATGTGTTAGATTTTAAATATCAAGGAAATGATTACGAGTAGTAATTTATTGTGAGATATCAGATATTTATAAACATTGAAGTTAACATTAAATGCAACAAGTATCTAATCGTTGATGGTTTTGGTAAAGATTTAATCTTACGTAAAATATATAAGAGGTATCGTAAACCTTTTAAGGTACTTGGAAATTGGAGTTCGACTTCATGAAAATTGTCATTTATGATTATTATAACTATAAAATTTTAATATACAGGTTTAAAACACAGTACTTATTCTGGGGCCGATTTGGTAAAGGGCAGAAACATCTGGGGCCGAAACGTCTTGGGTAATTTGGGGCCGATATGTCTTTGGGCCGAAACGTCACAAAAATCTTCCAATGAAAGCCAATAAAGGCAAATTCCCAAATTATTTGGAGTGTTTCTTCCAGCTCCAATTTTTGGGGGATCATTTCTGACCCCCTGTATCAGGTTATAGGGGTCACTTGAAATTTTTGCGGGTCATGCAAAACCATTTATTTTATCAACCAAGAAATACATACCACAAATTTATTAGCCTCTTCCTATAATTCATTCAGCCATTGAAAAATAATAGATGAATGGAAAAGAAAATGTTGCATGAAAATATAAGGAAGTGGCCCGTACGGCTAGTCAAAATTTCTAGCCGTACGTAAAATTATATGGAATGCATATGTTATTTTATGACTTTAAACCGAGGATTTTAACCAAGAAACAGCAATTGTCTTCGTATGTTTACTTTTTAGAGATTAATCCGTCGCCATGTTGGCTACATTAATTACAGTAAAGAATTTTAAAAGTATGAATATCAATCTTTGTCATCTCCAGATGGCGAGAGAGAAGGGCGTTTAAAATTTGGTTGCAGTTGAAAAACATCAATTGAAATAGTTAAATACAAAATTGTGATAATAATCCTTTTTCAATAAGTTTAATTTTCAACACCTTTAAAAACGAAAATAATTGTTGTTGGGCTCTGATAATTGCGTCAATTACCGACTATCATTAGGGAAATTTTGCATGTTCCGTGAAACCGTTAACGCATTCTAAAATTCTATCGTCAGTCCCTGGATAGGCTTTAATTAATTAAGGCTAATTGATTGTGCTTTTATACTTCTACTGTATTTAAAAAAAAAAAATTGTTTTTGCTTTTCAACATTTTTTCAATGTTCTTTTTATTTATTTATTCCACTCAGATCATGTCGTTATGAAAAAGTGTCATTTGCCGTTATGATTATTTATTCGATTCATGTGCATAATTAACAAAAAAATGATTTAATAATTCCCTGTTCATCTTTCATACAAATAAAACAACAAATCATAATTATGAAAAGCATCAGCAGCATTGTAATTGTGAGCAATACAGGGGTATCATTTTACTCTTGTTCTGACTGTTTGAAGATATCAAGTTTAGCAAATGTTCACTACATATATTTATAATTTATGGTCTTGTATATTTTCAGATTTTGCAAAGATAGCAGTTTGGAATTTTAAAGTTAATGGATTATAGCTTTCTGATTGGTACTAACATGACGTAAGAGAAGAGTTATTTATTTTGAAAAAAATTAATGAACTTGTTTGCATTCACTTCAGAAGTACTTTACTTGTATCTCTTCATATTACATGTACATGTGAGGAAGCTGTTAGTATTATATTAGCTTACTGAAGGGGGGTTCAGTGGCCGAGTGGCAAAGGTTGTTGACATCAAACCACTTGCCTCTAACTGCTGTAGGTTTGAGCCGCGCAAGTGTTTTCATATTCTTTCATGGAATATTGGTGGTTGTACTCTGGTGCCTGTTTGTGCATGAAATAACACACAGAAGGGCTATGGAGGTCTTTCTCCACTAGTAAAGCTGGAAAGTGACCATTTGACCTTAACTGTGTTGGTGCGACGTAAAACCCAATAAAAAAGAAATGTTAACTTACTGAAGGTTCATTATTAGTGAATCTACCTTAAATGCTCTCTCAAGCCTAAATGCTGCACATTAATTCTGTCTCAATTTAATATATGTACAGAAGTCACCATATGACATTGACCTATTTATACCATGTAATTTTGACTTCTTGTTTTAGCTTTGAGTAGTAAAACTATGGTTTTAGAACCATTTTTTAGCTCGACTATTCAATAAGAATAAGTAGAGCTATTGTAGTCACCCGAGCGTCGGCGTCAGCGTAACCACTAATGTTAAAGTTTTTGTAATAGTTCAAATATTTTCAAAGTCCATTGACATATGGCTTTGAAACTTTGCACACTTGTTCACCATCATGACCCCAACCTGTAGACTGGAGGAGGTAACTCTATCAAGCATTTTGACAGAATTATGCCCCTTTTTCGACTTAGAATTTACGTTAAAGTTTTTGTAATAGTTCAAATATTTTCAAAGTCCATTGACATATGGCTTTGAAACTTTGCACACTTGTTCACCATCATGAGCCCAACCTGTAGACAGGAGGAGGTAACTCTATCAAGCATTTTGACAGAATTATGCCCCTTTTTCAACTTATGCCCCTTTTTCAACTTAGAATTTACGTTAAAGTTTTTGTAATACCTCAAATATTTTCAAAGTCCATTGACATATGGCTTTGAAACTTTGCACACTTGTTCACCATCATGACACCAACCTGCAGACTGGAGGAGGTAACTCTATCAAGCATTTGGACAGAATTATGCCCTTTTTTCGACTTAGAATTTACGTTAAAGTTTTTGTAATAGTTCAAATATTTTCAAAGTCCATTGACATATGGCTTGAAACTTTGCACACTTGTTCACCATCATGACCCCAACCTGTTAACAGGAGGTAACTTTATCAAGCATTTTTTGTTACTATCAAGCACTAAGAATAGTCGAGTGCTGCTGTCCTACCGACAGCTCTTGTTTTGGAATTGACCTTAACTGTGATGGAATTGTCCTAGACTGTGATGGAATTGACCTGGACTGTGATACCAAGCATTCACATCTTGTCAAGAAGGTCAGAAGTTCAATCCCTGGCCATAGTTGTTCAAAATTGAATAAATTTATCCAAAGCAAAATAATTTTGCCACTCATTATTCAACATAGGATCTAAATTCTTTGAGTTTGCAATATTTCTTTTGAAAGTCTAGATACATGTACATGTAAGAATTTTTTTTTTTTTTATAGTACATATACTAGAACTGTTTATTTATAATTATATATTATGTGTATACATGTATTGTTTTAATATTTTAATTGTTCCATTAATATGACATGTTTGTTCAAAATGAAATTTAATAAAGTGATGTTATCTTTATATAGGTCTTTATATAGGTCTGCTATGTTTGGGAAACAGAGGTTATCTTGTAATCTCAATGTGGATGATGGTTTCGGAAAGCCGGGAAGTCTGAGCATACAGAAAAAGTCAGAGGTATATTGAGGCTTGAACTTATTTAGTCTAAATTTTAGAAAGTTGTCAGTTCTCCCTCCAACTAACATATATGTTTTAAAGATTTTATAAGGTTATTACAAATTCATATTACTACCAACTTCCTTTATTAGAGAAAAAAATTACGTCAGACATGTAAATCAACTGCTGTTAGATGTGTATACATGTATATAGATATATACAATATCAATGTCATGATTATCCAATGAAATTTGATGTTACAAACCAACAGTATTATAAAGGGAGAAAGTGGAGACTTCAGAGATATTAAAATCAATGTTTCAATTACTAGTGCTTATACACTTGGCATGCTAAAGAACTAGGAGAAGCTTTTGACTTTTGGGCATGTTTCCGAATCTTACATCTAAAATCGTGACAGTTATCTCAGCCAAGCACTTTTCAGATTAATGATCTTTTTTTTCTATATTGCTTTTATTTAACTTTCCATCTTTGAGAAAAATGGAGTGCAATGTCATCTGACATATCTTGCTTATGTCCCATGATTTACAACCATTTCTGCCAGGCGTGTTGTTTTGTTGTGTTTTGAATTTATAATTTAGATAAATGGGCCGCGTCACGACAAAACCAACATGATAGGTTTGCGACCAGCATGGATCCAGACCAGCCTGCGCATCTGTGCAGTCTGATCAGGATCTATGCTGTTTGCTATAAGTTTCTCTACCTGTATTAAGGTTTGTAAGCGAACCCATTATGTTGGTTTTGTCGTGACACGGCTCAAATAAAGTCAGTCAGCTGTTTATTTTCTTTAAAATTCATCATGTTAATAGAATATTACAATATACATTCACTGATTGGAGCACTTTAATATTAGAGGTATTAAACAATACATGGTGATATACATGTACTTTGTTAATTGCGTAGTAACATCAGATAATAAGTAGTGTGGTACAGATCCCTAAAATACCTTGTTTTATCAAATTTTTCAGCTTTTGTTTCTTGATTTGCAGAATGAAAGCATGCTCTTGGTTGTACATGATTTTTGTGTGCATGCTGCATTGAGCTATTACGTTTTAGCTTACATGATAGTGCAGTTTGAGTATGCCAAACTTCAGGCTGTGATCACTGCCATTGCATGCATGAAAATACCGGAGGGTGAAGATGTAGATGAAATCATTTCAAAAAGGTAAAGAAGCATTGTCTATTATATTGGTATAATGTTTGTAAAGTTGGATAACCTTGCCAGTTATTCAAAATCACCTCCAGGTTGAAAGTAGTGCTTCCAAGTAACTTTTGATGACAACAAAAAAAGAGTAGTTCATCTTTGTGTATGTATTTGAATCTGTCTCTGTCATCAAATACTGTAAAATCATTATTATTCGTGGGGCACGAATTTTCGTGGTTTTCGTGGGTAGGTCAATCCACAAATTTAAGATCCATCGAAACTTTATCCCTAGAATTACTTCTAACCATGTCTCTATTCTTTACATGCATCAACGCTTTTTCCGACCGATTATTGTGTTATGATGGTAAACAGATAATCAAGTAAGTAAAAGATTAAATCTAAAAATAGTTTAGGTTTGCAATATTTAAGAAACTTGGAAAGAAAAGACGATTATATGTCCTTGATTTGCTGTCACAAATGTCTGTCGTATATACACATCAAGAGACTGCTCGATTGTTGTGGGCTACTCGATTGTGTTACCCAGAATACTTTACATAATCGAGTAAATACGGGAAACCAGTGCAATAATAGCGCTAATGAAAATTGCCAGCTTGCTCTTATTAATTGCTTATAGAATTAAAGAAATCTTTGATATTAATGTCGTAAGTTAAGTACACTATACAATAAAAAAACCAATCGCTAAAACGGATGAATTGTCGTCTTTAAAAGATCAAGTTTAAATGAATTTTAATCTGTATTTGTTCGACTGCTATTCCGTAAACATCAAACACGCTGCCGACGTCTAGATCCGCACAACCCCGTGTTATTTACTCATATTAATTAATATATATGCATGTAAATTTACACAGTCGATGTGATGTTGCATGTAGTAACTGTCAAATATGGTAAGACCAATTCAGGGTGTAAACTTTTTAAACTCGCTTGTTAAAAACGTGTCAGGGGTCGTATAAATTATGCAATGTTTACATCGGCGAATCACAGGGGCAGTGTGTACAGTAGAGCTGCATATCATGTCACAAAAATGTGTTAATTGCAGTCAATTATCGGCAGTAACTACTATCTTTATGTTATGCCCAGAGGCAAGGATTAGATTATTGACAAGCGCTGTGTGAAACGTCAAGATATGTACATGCGGTTAGTAAAAATACGCGGCGATTTAGTGAGATTATTTTTTCTTTAGGTTATTTATTTATTTTTTTTACAAGAAAATGAAAATCCACGAATTTAAGAACCCACGAAAATGCCCGTTTTGATAAAACCACGAAATTTCATGCCCACGAATATAAGTGAATTCGCAGTAGCAATGAAATGCCATCAATAACAAATGACTCTGTCAAGTTATATAATTTTTCTTTCCATAACTGAATGAATTGGTACACCTGTTTTGAAAATTTGTTATATTGACAAGATTCTGGGCTGCTGGCATTAATTTGTGTTTACCAAAAGCGTTCTTGTTATAAAGTGAATGTTACATGTAAATTCTGATGGATATTTACAGAAATTTCCTTGAGCCAAGTTAGTAATTTATCATACATGCAAAGTAGATTATAAAAGTAAAAGGAATTATGGTAAAATGTTATTCATCTGTTCACTGTCTTTTCAATTATTAAGTATGAATTTTGAGGGTATATACTCATTTAACATTGTGGTAAAAGAACTATATCGGTAATATTGTCTACTTATATTTCTTGGCAAGCTTATTTTGAAGGTAACTAGGAATTTTCTAAATCCAAAATTATTAATAATAAGCACTACTTTATATTTTGAATTGGTTTATGGGCACCAGTTATAAAAGTTATTTATGTTTGATAATATACAATGTACAGTATATCTATCTTAAAATGTTCACCTATTTACTATGTATTAAGATGTTTAAGCATTTATTTCCAGTTTATCGTCCAGTACACATGTGTATTATATAACTTCTTTTACTCAACTTTACAGCATTTGTTTTTAATAAAGCATATATAAGTCTGCCCTTCACGCTTATTAGAGCGTTAATTTGGAGGGAGGATATACTGGAATCACTTTGTTGCCTCAGACAGTCAATCTCTATTGTGTCCACTATACAAATCCAATACCCCTTGAAGGATTTGAATTTTTCTTCAAACTTGATTCAGATGTTCACCTTATGTGTGCAAAACCCATGTCACAACTTACCTGGTCATGGTCACATTGAAGGTCAAATATTGGACAATTTCTTGTCTGCTCTATAAATCCTTTTATAAATATACCTTTTGAAGATTTTTTTTCAAACTTAGCTCAAATAAGGCTTTGAACAGAACCCTTGCCACTGCTAAGCAGAACCTGTCATGGTTCAACTTTTAGGTCAAAGGTCAAATATCAGACAATTTCATGTCTGCTGTATAAATCCTGAACTCCTTGAACAATTGCCTTCAAACTTTACTCAGATATTTACCTGAACAAAGTGATCTGCAGAATCCTTGTCTCTGCTCAGCTGGATCAAGGTCAAGGTCACCCTTGAAGGTAAAGTGTCAGACAATTTCATGTCTGCTCTAAATCCTTTACCAGCAAGAAAAATTTTCTTGGCTCAAATGGGCTGTTCAATAAAGTAATGTGCAGAATTCATGCTGACTTTATGGTGGCTTGAGATCAAGGTCACCCTTGAAGGTCAAAATTCGAACATTTTATGTCTGCACCATAAATTCCAGGGCTCATCCGGAAGGGCGATTCAGGCGAAAACTTCGCCGTGTATATTCCAATTTCGCTCTTCCGATTGATCAAAGAGAAGTCGACATCGCCGATAAAATCTTAATTCCAAATAGTAATTACTTAGCGATGTAAAGAGCAGAGATTGTATCCGCCCATATGACGACCGCTAATTATCATTATCCAATCAGAGCGTCGCTTTATACTACCCTTCTACCTGTAAGCGAAGCGATAGACCGCCTACTCTAAACAGTAAATAATGAGAGCATCGGCCCTAAACGGTATAATTGTGTGATAGTTTGCGAGTTTAATACGGGATTTGGCGATAATTATCCCCCGCCGATGGAATCGGGAGGGGGATATAGTTTTGGCGTTGTCCGTCCGTCCTTCCGTCCTTCCGTCCGTCCGTCCGTCCATCCGTCCGTCCATCCGTCCGTCCGAATTTCGTTTCCGGAGTAGTTCTCTGCAACTAATGGCTGGAATTCAACAAAACTTTATGGGAATGTTGATCAGCATGTGAAGTTGTGCACCTGGGTATTTTCGTTTGGATATTTTTAGTATTTTTAGAGTTATTGCCCTTGACTTAGTAAAACGTCCGAATTTCGTTTCCGGAGTAGTTCTCTGCAACTAATGGCTGGAATTCAACGAAACTTTATGGGAATGTTCATCAGCATGTGAAGTTGTGCACCTGGGTATTTTCTTCTGGATATTTTTAGTATTTTTAGAGTTATTGCCCTTGACTTAGTAAAATTTTGTAATTTTCAACTTGTGTCGCATGTAACTCAAAAAGTATTTGACCTAGAGTCATGAAACTTTACAGAAATGTTGATCAGTATGTGAAGTTGTGCACCTGGGTATTTTCGTCTGGATTAATTTAGTATTTTTAGAGTTATTGCCCTTGACTTAGTAAAATTTTGCAATTTTCAACTTGTGTCACATGTAACTCAAAAAGGATTTGCCATAGAGTCATAAAACTTTACAGGAATATTGATCAGCATGTGTAGTTGTGCACCTGGGTATTTTCGTCTGGATTTATTTAGTATTTTTAGAGTTATTGCCCTTGACTTAGAAAATGTTTGCAATTTTCAACTTGTGTCGCATGTAACTCAAAAAGGATTTGACATAGAGTCATTTAACCTTATTGGAAAGTTGCTCAGCATATTTAGTTTGTTCCTGGGGTTTCGCTTGTGGATTTATCCAGTATTTGTAGAGTTATTTCCCTTGACTTAGTAAAAACTGTTTCATTATGTTGTTATTTGATCCTTGAGTGCTTGAGTTAGAATCAACCAACTTTACAGGAATAATGATCAACATCACTAAATTACGAATAATGAAGTCAGGAGATTAAGATGTTTTTACATCTAGGTGAGCTATTGTGATCCCCCACCGTCCGTCGTCATGCGTCGTCAGCAATTTCTTTAAACAACATCTCCTCAGAAACAAATGACTGCACAGCAACCAAACTTTACAGGAATGATCCTAGGGTGGTCCCCTGCCAAAGTTGATCAAATGGTTCTGGTCTGTTGCATAGCCTTATGTCTTCAGTTGTTGTGTTAATAATAACCAGTACTCGGCGGGGGATATAAATTCAACGAATTTGCTTGTTATACATTGTTTTTCCCCGATTATCTAAACACGTGCAATCTTCCCTAATTGATATACACGATGCACTTCGATGGTGGGTTTTTAACCCGAGTAAAGGCGATGTGCAATGGATTTTTCACGGCTATCACAAAACTGTTAGTCAATTAAAAATAATCAATTTCATTAATGATCAGCGACCGGATTAAAAACTAAATCATAGTTTTGAATGATTTCAGTCTGTTAACATCAAATTTTTACTGTAAAATTGTTATGTCGCTCACGTCATGGCTACAGGGCGAAATGCCCAAACCTAGCAGTAAAATTACTGATTCTGATACACCTACAAAACCATTTCGCAAAAATCTTGCGATTGGTATGTTGTCGACAGTGGGGGTGTTTGGCATTGTTCTGTTTTTAGAAATGCCAAATTTGACACAGTTTACGCACATGGGCAAGACATCCCGGCTAAACTACATCTCGCTCGGTCGTATATCATGTAACGTATATAACAACAAAATTTGTCAAGAAGAAGAGTTCATATTGTTTCAATATACATATTTGTTGTAATGTCGTAAATATGACGCTCAGATTAAGATTTATCAATTTTTTTGTAAATTTCAAAAAGCATTATTTATAAAGATATTACCGAATTTAACATTTCATGAAAATAAAGGGAGGTAATTAGAAATTAATTTTCTACAATTTCTCAGTCAAATTTTTCAATAAGAAATGAATTTATGTAATTTTAGTGATCAAATATAATGTGCACAAATGTTTGCAGTACATATTTTACATATTCTTTGATGTTTGAAAATTGTTTTATAAGCATAATTATATGCATATAAATTTGACATAACAACATTCAGGACATTCAAAGAAATTTCTGTTACCAGAACAGAATAGAATAGATTTTATTAATCAATATCCAAGGTGACTTCATCTTCTAACAAAAGTGAGGAAAGAAAAAATATATAATTGATTTTATCATCACATCTTTTCTTACACATCATTTTCAACAAATGTACATGAAAATATATAAACACATATTTTGAGAAAGCTTAAAAATAGCTGATCAATAGATATCAAAAATAATTTTTTATATTCATATTTGCAGCTCAAAAACATTTAGATGCCATTGCCAGATCTACTACTAATTAATCTACTTTTAATTAATACCTACTATTAATTAATAAACTGGAGAAATATTATAAGTTATGTTAATTGTGTTTATATTATAGTTAAAGGATGTATAGCCATACATGTTAATGCATACACATTGGGTTGTTTCCCTTCTCCCTAATTTTCGCGAGGAAGTCACTTCTCCCTAAAATTTCCCCCCAGGATGAGCCCTGAATTCTATACTTTCATTTCTCTTTTTAAAACTTAACTCAAATGTTTTCTTTAAAAAATAATGATAAATTGCACAACATAAGATTTTTTGTCATAGAGATCAGGTGGGGGTATTCGTCACTTTTGTGGCAGCTCAATTTTTTTTTTTTTTTTTTTTTTCGGAACACTTGAAAAGGTTCTTGCATGCAACATTATTTCTCATTTAGTTTTACTTTCAACTTCAGGCATGAAATTGATTCATGATTGTAAGACACTGACACTCATAAACATGAACCTTTAAATTTAATGTATGTTATGTAATTATTGAATAATACTTTAACAGCAAGGGTTCCTTAAAAAATTCATGATTTAAGTTTATAAAGTCATATATCTGCTGTCAGAAGTTTGCAAAAACATAGTTATACCCCGGCACAACAAAGTTATAAGGGGAGTATACTGGAATCAGCTTGTTGTCCGGCCATCGGGCGTCCGCCGGTTTTTTCTTGTCCGCCCAATAACTTAAGATTCCTTTGACCCACAGTCTTCATATTTGGCATGGAGGTTAGTCATGACGAGTAGATGACCCCTATTGATTTTGAGGTCACCAGGACAAAGGTCAAGGTCACACGCTCAATAACTTAAGATTCCTTTGACCCACAGTCTTCATATTTGGCATGGAGGTTAGTCATGATTAGTAGGTGACCCCTTTTTATTTTAAGGTCACTGGGTCAAAGATCACGGTCACATGGACTTTGACTTCAAAAAGATTGTCCACCCATTAACTTTATATTCCTTTGACCCACAGTCTTCATAATTGGCATGGAGGTTGATCATGACTATTAGGTGACCCCTATTGATTTTGAGGGTCACTGGGTCAAAGGTCGACTAAAAAAAGCTTTTCCCCTCAATTGCTTAAGAATGCCGGTCCGCAGTTTATTGATTTTGACATTTTCACATTTGAAGCATGTAGAATACATAGCACTGGCTTAGTAACCTCAGATTTGGCAGGGACATTGTCCTTGAGCTCTAAATTGCCACTGTTGATTCTGACAAAGTGGTATGCGGGGGTATTCACGCCATGACAGTGGCAGTTCTAGTTTGAATTTGGAAAAGGAATTTTTAAAAAATACATGTATGAAAGAAAAGTGTATGCTTCCTTATGAATTAAAATTAGCATGCACTAAAACATTGCTAAATGATTAAAATCCTACTTAAAAATAGAAGCACAATATTTTGTCCAAGAACATTTTTATGACAGTTGACAGCTTTAATATTTGCATAAACATAAAGGAGCTTGGCTGAGGTCCAAAAGCCTAGAGGTCCAAAAGCCTAAAAACATTTTGCCACATTTTAATTGAACAATTTTGGAACTGGGAAATCTATATTATGGGGGAACACATATGTATATAGTGTGTACTTTTGATTTAACATTTGAAGTCAGATTTGTGCAGAATGTTGAAATAGACCCTTTGAATCTTTTGTGATGTTTTCATGTTAAATGAATGTTGGCATTCCTTTTTGCAGAGATATTGACGAAGAGGATTTATTGAACGGTCAGGAGATTACAACATACAATGATGACAGAGATCTGGTAAGCCTTTAGTTAGCAGTGTTATATTACTCACTTGTATCATAGTTTGGAGACTTTTTAGTTGAAAACATGTCGGAGTTAAATCGTATACATGTACAGTCTGTTAACTGGAGTGTAGGTATTAGTTATCCGCACTCCAGTGCATGCCCATCGCTTGGCTCATTTTTATGCCCCCACAATGTGGGAGCATATAGCGTTGCACTTGTCCGTCCGTCAGTCCGTCCGTACTTCCCGAAATCTTGTGAACGCAACTCCTCTTAAACCGGATGGCAGATTTTGCTTAAACTTACAGGGATGAACAACCTTAATGTGTTGATGGTAGTAAAGGAAGGAATTTTTGCTGCGACCAAATTTAACAGAATTATGGCCCTTTGTTGATTTTTTTACTATATACTATGTAGAAATTTTGTGAATTAATATTAATGCAGCTCCTCTTAAACTGGATGGCAGATTTTGCTTAAACTTCCAGGGATGAACAACTTTAATGTGTAGATGGTAGTAAAGGAAGGGATTTTTGCTGGGACCAAATTTAACAGAATTATGGCCCTTTGTTGATTTTTTCACTATATACTATGTAGAAATTTTGTGAACGCAACTCCTCTTAAATTTTACAGAATTATGGCCCTTTGTTGATTTTTAGTTTTCAACTTGTGGCACATGTAGTCCAAAAAATATTTGACCTAGAGTCATAAGATTGACAGAACAGTGGCGTGTGGGGGCATCCGTGTCCTATGGACACATTTCTAGTTTTTCTGGGGTTTCAGTATTGTGACCACAGAGAAATGGAAAGCAATAGAAATATCATAATTATTCAGATGCTCTTTCATTGGTTATTTTTTTCTGGGATGTCATATTGTAATAACAGGGAACATGTTTTTATTTTTAACTATGATACAAACGTAAAAAACATCAAAACATAAAGCAATCTGAATAATATTCCGGAGCTAGGCCGCCTCATACAAATCAGATAGCCTCGTGTTATGATGCTCTTCCTATTACTTCAGTAGCAATACAATTTTTAAATAAAACACGAAAAATAAGTTTTAAGTCACACTGTCAATATTATGGTCATATAGTGACCTTCAAGCTTTACTGCTGAAAAAGAACCTTGTGCCTGAAATAATGCACTAAGGAGCACCTGAGTAGAACCACCAATCTTCTGTAGGCTAGCTGGATAGAGAATGGGGCAAAGCATTTGAATCAAGGTATTTGGAAAAGAAAATCTGGCATATTTTAGAGGATAATAAATGGAAATTTGAATACATGCCCCAGAGACAATGAGTTGACTATGGGTAACTGCTCATTTTGGACTATTGTGCCCATGATTGTATAATCTTACATTTGTTATCATTTTATATGGACTTGCATTTTAAACTAGCTGCAGGAAATGTTTACCACAGAATTGCATTAAACATGAAATGACAACCCATGTATGATACTGTATTTATTAAGTCTCTACATTATCTGACAGTTGCAATGATAATATAACTGTTAAATCCGCAGAATATTTAAGAAAGTATGCATATGTGAAGTCATACATGCCATAATTTTTGGACAGCTTTCCGGGACACTTTTCATCGCGGCAATAATGGATGTGTAGGCAGTTGTGGAAAAGGGGGTGTCAATCGTATAACGTTATTAATTAGGACGACTTTCTCCTGAATTTTAATGATAAACAGTTAACTTACTAATTTTATAAGTAGTCTTTTAGGTTGACATAATTATCATTTAATAGTATTTCTTTATTTCATTTATTATTCCCTAAAAGCAAGTATGTTGTAAGTTATTATTTATTATAAACCCGGTGAATGGGCGCAGCCATGTTGTTCACCCGTTATATCTTAAAGTCATGATAATTACTACATGTCACGTAATACAATTCTTCCAGTCATAAAAACAAACACAGCCAGGTGATTTATTTGACACCTTTAATTTTTTATGTGATAGATATATTTACATTGTTTGTAATTATTAGACTTTCGGCAAGTTAGCGATTGATCTAAAAATAAATGATTATCGGGGATTAACGATAATTGTTAAGGGCCGTAAACCATTAATTAACCCGACCAATAAACGCTGCCGAATTCAACAGAGAATGTTAATTGCCGATGCATGAAGAAAGCTATTGCCGAGGGGAATCGATAGCCGATAATTGGGGGGGGCTGTATATTGTAAACTTGTGTCAACGTTCCTGTGTATTATGTGTACCAGGTCAGAATATGTTTTACGATCGAGAGGTGAAATGTGCGAGATTTGATGTAAGAAAATTTATGAAAATTTTTCAAAATATCATGATTTTTTTTCCGGGATCAAATCGATGTCCGGGACATCTCCGGGACAGACATCCGATTTCCGGGACAATCCCGGGCATCCGGGACGTTATGGCATGTATGGTGAAGTTATTTGTACCATAAGTAACATTTAAGAAATAAGTTAGAGTGATAAAAATGTTTTAATCATAAAAGTGTGAGTCAAGAAGTTTGAACTAAACTGATTGTAATTCTGCAAATGGGCCATAGGGAGTAGTAAAATGAAGCAATTTCATTTGTTTATATTCAGTTTGGAGATTTTTTTTTCTTTCTTCAGAGTGGTACATATTTCAATGATAGTAATATAGCCCAATTGTCCAGTATGGATGGTGGACTTCAAGATGATCTCACTATGGATGATCTCACAAATGATGATAATTATTTTAGGGATTCAAGGGACATCGATAAAACTATACGGTAATTTATAATATGGTTAAATATACATGATTTATGCTTACATGACTGAAACTTTAAATATACATGTATATTAAAAATGAAAACCTTTTTACTCTCCTTGAATATTGAATTTATCACATATATACATGATAAAATACTACATGTATGAAACGTGGATTTTCATTAGGTTTTTTTCATGTTTATTAATGTAATACCCCCTGGTGTCCGACCGTCTGTCTGTGTATCTGTCTATCCGTACGAACCCAGAGGAACTTGTTTGACTTAGAGAACAATGGGTAACAGTAAATTCTCTTTGATCCTATTCATTCCGTTTTTACTTGTGTGTCTTTTTTTAAGCCTTGTGTGACTAAAAATAGCCTAAAAGATCAAAGGAAAAGTCACATAAGTACCATGAGTACGTCCGTCTATCCGTCTGTCCGTTAACAATTTGGTTTTCGGAGCATAACTGAAGTTCCATTTGGCCCACAATATTCAAACGTCATAGGATGATTGTCCATATTGGGTAGAAGACCCCTATTGATTTTGGGGTCACAAGGTCAAAGGTCAAGGTCACTATTACCTTAAAACTGAAAACAGTTTCCGGAACATAACTTAAGTTCCATTTGGCCCACAGTGTTCAAACTTCATAGGATGATTGTCCATATTGGGTAGAAGATTTCTAATGATTTTGGGGTAACAAGGTCAAAGGTCAAGGTCACTATAACTTTAAAACTGAAAACAGTTTCCAGAGCATAACTTAAGTTCTGTTTGACCCACAATATTCAAACTTCATAGGATGATTGTTCATATTGGGTAGAAGACTAGATTTTGGGGTCACAAGGTCAAATTCTTGTTGTCATTAGTGGCTATTGTTTCAGTCTAAATATCCTGAAAGTTTGTCAGAAAGGTTGTTAAGTACAAATGTGAGTTACCTGGTGTCAAAACTAGGTCACACAGCCCAAATATGGTCAAATCTTTTTTACACTCTAGAGGTTACATATTAGCCAAAATATCCTGAAAATTTGTCAGAAGGGTTGTTTGGGTGATATATAGCTCAGTGCGAATATGTATCATCTTTCATCAAAATTTAAAGTTACACAGCTTAAAAACAAACCTTGTTTACAATTCAATCTCATTAGGATATGATTTTAACATTTTCAGCACAAATATCTTGGGAACATGTAAGAAGCGTTGATGTGGTGATTTAAACATGGTTGTCTGGGTTAAAAAACTAGGTCATACAGCCAAAATATGGAAAACTTTGTTTTAACACATTAGATGTTGAATTTAATTTTATTTTGATGATTTGTAGCACAAGATTGAGTGTGGGGTCACAAGGTCAAAGGTCAAGGTCACTATTACTTTAAAACTGAAAACAATTTACGGTTATAACTAAAGGTGTATTTGGCCCACAATATTCAAACTTAATGGGATGATTGTCCATAGACATCGGTTTAAAAACTGGGTGATAGCCTAAATATGGAAAAACTCTACCTGTAACATTTCCAGCCTACACCCCTTGTTATGGAAAATCCTAGGTAACACACTAGAGGCAATATTTTCAGACCAAATATCCTGGAAATTAGAAAGGTTGTATAAATGATTTCTTTGTTAAATTTGAATATGGGTCATCTGTGGTCAAAAACTAAGTGACAGAGCTCAAATATGGAAAAATTCTTGTTTACATCAAAATTTTTGCACTATTTCAGATGCATATATGAACTTTATGGTATCAGTTTTAGTTTTAGACACGATGTCAGCTTTTTATTCCTAGTTAACAACATTGATTGCTCTTTGTCATTAAGAACCTTAATCATCAGATGAGCGATATGAGGACCATCATGACACTCTTGTTTTAGTTGGGAGAGATTTAAGGATTTTTTTATCTTGTCTAAAGCATATAATATACGGGGAACCACCCTTTAAATGGCAGCCAAACGACATAATTATTGCTATGACACTGAAAAACATCTGTATCTTATTCAGCAACTCTTTTGTTTTTAGCTCGACTATTCGATAAGAATAAGTAGAGCTATTGTAGTCACCCGAGCGTCGGCATTGGTGTCCGCGTCGGCATAACCACTTATGTTAAAGTTTTTGTAATAGTTCAAATATTTTCAAAGTCCATTAACATATGGCTTTGAAACTTTGCACACTTGTTCACCATCATGACCCCAACCTGTAGACAGGAGGAGGTAACTGTATCAAGCATTTTGACAGAATTATGCCCCTTTTTAGCTCGACTATTCGATAAGAATAAGTAGAGCTATTGTAGTCACCCGAGCGTCGGCGTCTGCGTCGGCGTAACCACTTATGTTAAAGTTTTTGTAATAGTTCAAATATTTTCAAAGTCCATTGACATATGGCTTTGAAACTTTGCACACTTGTTCACCATCATTACCCCAACCTGTAAACAGGAGGAGGTAACTGTATCAAGCATTTTGACAGAATTATGCCCCTTTTTCGACTTAGAATTTACGTTAAAGTTTTTGTAATAGTTCAAATATTTTCAAAGTCCATTGACATATATATGCACACTTGTTCACCATCATTACCCCAACCTGTAAACATGAGGAGGTAACTGTATCAAGCATTTTGACAGAATTATGACCCTTTTTCGATTTAGAATTTACGTTAAAGTTTTTGTAATAGTTCAAATATTTTCAAAGTCCATTGATATAATTATGGCTTTGAAACTTTGCACACTTGTTCACCATCATTATCCCAACCTTTTAACAGGAGGAGGTAACTGTATCAAGCATTTTGACAGAATTATGCCCCTTTTTTGACTTAGAATTTACGTTAAAGTTTTTGTAATAGTTAAAATATTTTCAAAGTCCATTGACATATGGCTTTGAAACTTTGCACACTTGTTCACCATCATTACCCCAACCTGTAAACAGGAGGAGGTAGTTGTATCAAGCATTTTTCTTACTATCAAGCACTAAGAATAGTCGAGCGTTGCTGTCCTACCGACAGCTCTTGTTCAACTTAGAATTTACGTTAAAGTTTTTGTAATACCTCAAATATTTTCAAAGTCCATTGACATATGGCTTTGAAACTTTGCACACTTGTTCACCATCATGACCCCAAACTGTAAGCAGGGGGAGGTAGCTGTATCAAGCGTTTTGACAGAATTATGCCCCTTTTTTGACTTAGAATTTACGTTAAAGTTTTTGTAATACCTCAAATATTTTCAAAGTCCATTGACATATGGCTTTGAAAGAAAATGAAATTTTATACTGTTTGAGAGCTTAATAGGACTCTTTCCAAGGCCTATAACTGTAACATGGATTTAAAGAGAAAAAAATCCCTTTTGTTAACTTAGGAAATTTTACATTATCAAGGATTTCTTACTATCAAGCACTAAGAATAGTCGAGCGTTGCTGTCCTACCGACAGCTCTTGTTGGTAATGATAATGACAAGAAATTATGAATACCCAAATAATGAAAAGCACACTTTTTGGTTAAAAAAAATGCAAAATTTTGACAATGAAAATTTAAAGTGAGGTATTGTAGATGAAAGAAGTAATTTTATTGCTAAAAGAAAATTATACAAACTTGCAATGTGTTGAGAGATAGAGTTACTTTCCTGATTTTTGATATCTGTCTTTAAATCTATGTTTCTGTTCTGTTTTTTGCTGCAGGATGTTTTTGAATAAAGAGGAAACTGCCACTCCTGTTTACACCCCAAGTCTTTCAGCAAGAAAAAATGATCTCAGTTTATTTACATTAAGGTAGTGTATTTCTTTTTGAGTTATGCTTTTGTCAATAAGTGATGTGCAAGGGAATTGCATTAAAATTATCATTTATTCTTTCATGTTGATTGACTCAAGTATGTCTTAATATTGTTTTAACTTGTCATTTTATATTACAGTAATATAGTATATTTTTCTTTTTTGAAGAATTTTCGACACCATTCTTACATAATGCATTAACAACAGGTTTTAGTTTCTGGGTAATTTTGCTAAATTAAATCATAAGCAGAAAAATTGGTCTCAATGTGGATATTGCATAACAAGTTAACAGTGTTAGCTTGATTTTACATCCAAGATTTATTAGGTCTTCGCTATTGTTATTGCAAAAAGAGTGAAAAATACCCATGATATAGGTGTGAAAACAGTTTGTTACAAAGTCGACCTTTTTTCTTATTGGCATGGTATATCATTTTATTTTACAGTCCTATCACGTTTATAGATAGAACATATCATGTGAATCTGCTCAACATGGTAGCTTCTGGTAGTGAAGTTTCTGGTTGTGAAGTTTCTGGTTGTGAAGTTTCTGGTAGTGAAGTTTCTGGTTGTGAAGTTTCTGGTTGTAATTCATTCCAGGCATTGATAGGCTCAAGTGCATTAGGTAAGAAGCAGGAAAAAAAAAACAGAATAAAAATTAATTCTTTTATAGAATAATAGTCCTGTATATTAAAATATTATAGTTAACCATATATTAATGTTAGCTTTATTGTGATGACAAATAAACTTATAATGAACCACTTTCATTTGCCCTTCCTTGAACTAAACAGTATTGTTGTCATATGTTGAAACATGATTGTGACTCCAATAAAGTTCAAACCCGCAATCCCCTGGTTGAAAGACAGACACCTAAACCATTTACCCACTGCTTACAGTGGGTTGACTCCTGGCTGATTTCTTCTTAGAGATTTTTATCTAGAAATAAGCTGTTTGATACATGATGCTCAGCTTGAAGAATGTGTTTTAATTTTTATTACTTTAGGTATTTCTGGGAGTGAAATGAGGAAGCTATACAGCCCAGAAACTTTGTCAACAGTTCAAATGAAGTTTACTACAGAGGTGAGACTTTCATGAAGTATTATAATTCCATTGAAAATTTTCACTGTATTTTTTGGTGCGCCTTTAAAAAGGTGACATATAGGGGTTACTTTTGTCGGCGTTGTTGTCGGCGTCGGCGTCTCCTTAAGCTTGTCCGGAGCATAAGTCAGTCATTATAAGTCGGATTGACTTCAAACTTGGTATGCATGTTTCTTATAATGACCCGAAGTGCAGTGCACAAGAACTGGTACTCTGCATTTCTTATTTTTTGAGTTATTGCCCTTTGTTAATTTTCATACTTTATTTTTGTCCGGGCCATTTCTCCTAAAGTATAGAATCTATGGACTTGAAACTTCATAGGATGATAGATCTCATTAAGAAGAAGTGCAGTGCACAAGAACTGGTACTCTGCATTTGTTATTTTTTGAGTTATTGCCCTTTGTTAATTTTCATACTTTATTTTTGTCCAGGCCATTTCTCCTAAAGTATAAAAGCTATGGACTTGAAACTTCATAGGATGATAGATCTCATTAAGAAGAAGTGCAATGCACAAGAACTGGTACTCTGCATTTGTTATTTTTTGAGTTATTGCCCTTTGTTAATTTTCATACTTTATTTTTGTCCAGGCCATTTCTCCTAAAGTATAAAAGCTATGGACATGAAACTTTATGGGATGATAGATCTCATTAAGAAGAAGTGCAGTGCCCTAGAACTGGTACTCTGCATTTCTTATTTTTTTAGTTATTGCCCTTTGTTAATTTTCATACTTAATTTTTGTCCAGGCCATTTCTCATAAATTATAAAAGCTTTAGACTTGAAACTTAATAGGATGATAGATCTTATTGATAAGAAGTGCAGTGCACAGAAACTGCTGCTCTGCATTTCTTATTTTTTGAGTCATTGCCCTTTGTTGATTTTCAAATTTCTTTTTTGTCCTGGCCATTTCTCCTAAACTATATTGTTCACAAGGCGACACATCTGACTCAAGAGTTCTAGTTTCTAGAAATATGGGGTAAATTAACCTCGCAGTGTAACCATTACTGTGTCCATGTGACTTAAAACCCAACCAAAAACTCCCTGTCTATCTCCGCAAGGTCAGTTTGATAGTTTTATTTTGATGCCAAGATTGCTTGCAATATATCTAACTTGCAATACATAAACATTTACCAAGGATTTTACTGTTTGGAGGTCTGCAAATCAAGGGCTCTTCACTTGGGTTTTAATTTCTGAAGCTATCCAGCTACCGGTAGCTTTAAAAACATTGGTGGTAATACTCAAGTGCCTGCTCATGCCTGGGATAATGCATGGAGGTGTACCAGAGGTCGTCTTCTACCAGTAAATATTGAAATTCACTATGTATATGACCTTTTCGTGTCAGAATGAATTGAATCCCAACTGAAAAAAAAAAATAGATAACTAGGCATTGGATAAATCTTACCCAAATGTCCACACTTTTTCTGTAGAGAGAATTAAATTTGATTGGGGCATAAATGTTATCTGTTATTTAATTAAGCCCTGATTTATAGAATAATGTTGTATAAATATACTTGTTCACAACATGGTCGTATAAGAAATTTGTTTTCTTTTTCAGAAAGAACATGAAGACCTGTCGAATGAGAAAGTTAGCGCTGAAATAATGACCAAAACAGCCTATCAATCAAATGTTATACACCGTCCAGCATGTAACTTTGGTGCTACTAGTCTTTTTACTTGTATTAAGGTATGGTGAATCATATCCTATTTAGACAGCATTAAAGCATAGTGAATCATATCTATTTGCCGGAAGTACTGTTGCTGTTTTGATTATAGCTGCAGGGTAAAGGTTAATGTAGTAGTTATATTTTTACCACAGCCCACTCCCCCACTGGGTTAGGTTCAGCATTGTGCAAAAACTAAATGAAGGTGAATCTTTGTAGTATTTTCAAATTAACTGGTATGGTGATAGAAAAGAAAAGTCAGTCGGATGCATAAGTCACAATATCTTCAAGTCATAAGCAAGTCCCTTAAACTTTGACTTGTCCGTGTTTTACTGTATATAAAGTAATTGCTTGTTGTATATTATACACTAACATCATGAAAATCATATTGATTTGGTATTTGGTTTGTATTTTTTTGCAGAATTTAATGATAGTCCTATTGTGTTTTGGGATGGTTAACCTTACAGCAGGTGGCCCTGTGTTGGATAAGGGGAAAATGGATGACAAAGATGGAGGGGTTTATCTAAAATTCCCACTGTTAGAATCAAATTGGTGTCAAAACCCGGAGCAATCAACAGACACCTGCCCAAACAAAGATAGATTCATGGAATATAAGGTTACATTCTGTCAGTATAAGTGTCCTGATGGAGAAAAGGTCCTGTGCTTGGAAAGTGAAGTCGGAATGGTATTCTTCTGCATTCCAAAGGATATAAGATGTGTTAAAGGTATAACATGTAATTGACATTGAAAAAATTAACGTGTTAATATATAAGCCATTTTTAGCTTGACTATACAAAGTATATGGAGAGCTGACCAACTCGTGTCAGCGGTGGCGACCGCGTCCGTGTCCAGATTTTAGATTAAAGTTTTGGTGCAGTAAAATATTTTTCACTATAACTTTTTAGCTCACCTGTCACAAAGTGACAGGGTGAGCTTTTGTGAACGCTTTTCGTCCAGCGTCTGTCCGTCGTCTGTCCGTCCGTAAACTTTTACTTGAAATAACATCTCCTCATTAACCACTAAGCCAATTTCATCCAAACTTCACAGGAATGTTCCTTTGGTGGTCACCTTAAAAAATTGTTCAAAGAATTTAATTCCATGCAGAACTCTGGTTGCCAAAGAAAAAAACTTTTAATATCTTCTTTAAAAAAAACCCTAAGAGCTAGAGCTTACATATTTGGCATGAAACATCTTCTAGTGAGTGTCTACCAAGTTTGTTCAAATAAAAGCCCTGGGGTCAAAATTGGCCCCGCCCCAGGGGGTCATTGATTTTCCCTATATGCATATAATAAAAACTTTAAAAAATCTTCTTTTAAAGAACCCAAAGAGCTAGAGCTAAGATATTTAGCATGAAACATCTTCTAGTGAGTGTCTACAAAGTTTGTTCAAATAAAAGCCCAGGGGGTCAAAATTGGCCCGGCCCTGGGGGTCATTGATTTTCCTTACATGAACTTAAAAATTTTATTTGAAAAAACCCAAATAGCTAGAGTTTAGATATTAGGCAGGAAACATCTTCTAGTAAGTGGATACAAAATTTGTTCAAATAAAAGCCCTGGGGTCAAAACTGGCCTGCCCCAGACATTTGATAAGAATCCCTGTCCCCTAAATCAAGTTTTTGAGTAGAAAGTTACTTTGCTGATTCGTACCCCGGGCAGTTTGAACTCGTCCAAATAAATTACAATTTTAATTTTGTATTTCTCTATATCCAGCAACAACTTTGTCTTTCAGCACATCAAATAATTAAACTTAAAATTGAAGTATTATAATTTTTTTCATGCCCAGTTTCATGATTAAGTCAGCTGTCACTAAATATGTTAAAACCTTTTATGCAGAAATAAAAAAAAATCTTTCATATTGATCATGTTAATTTAATCATTATTATGATACATAATTGTAACAACAATGAATTAATTATTATGGTACATGATAATTTAAACAATTAATGAATGTATACAAAAGTTTAAACAATTTTGGAATTAAAAAATCATTGTCGTAAAAAGTGCTACATGTAGTTGAATTCAGTTTTTGCTAGTTAAAAATTTGTTCACTAGCAAAAAATAGGTTATATCAAGAGGCAGCTTGGGATTCTACCCAGGTGTCTGTGATCAAGGTCAAGGTCACTGTTACTAAAAATAGAAATTCAGTTTCCGCTCAATAACTTGAATTTGCTTTGGCCTATTGACACCAAACTTGGTGTATGGATAGCTTATATCAAGAGACAGCTTGGGATAGCTACCCAGGTGTCTGTGATCTAGGTCAAGGTCACTGTTACTAAAAATAGAAATTCAGTTTCCGCTCAATAACTTGAGTTTGCTTGGCCTATTGACACCAAACTTGGTGTATGGATAGCTTATATCAAGAGGCAGCTTGGGATTGCTACCCAGGTGTCTGTGATTAAGGTTAATGTATTTAGTTTTCATGTTATAACTTGAGTTTGCTTTGACCTTTTGACACCAAACTTGCTGAGTGGCAGCTTTGGATTGCCACTTAGATATCTGAAAGCAAGGTCAAGGTAATTTGCTTACAATAGAATTTAATGAGAAATTCAACTTTTTTGAGGCTCTCAATGGGGAAAACAGATTTTAATATTAACGTTAATATTAAGGAAATTTCATTTTAACTTGTTTTTAAGCATAAAATAAAAAGAGGCTACACCACTCGTGAGAATACTGTTTTTAAAGCCCACTTGATGAAATAAAATTTCATCTTACACATTAGGCTTCTTCATTCATATGTGGCAGAAATATGATTATTGTTGTTGTTTTTCACATATGAAAAATAAATACAAAAAAAAATTTAATTGTTGCAGGGATTGGCTGGCAGGTGGAAGGTATTGAGCACAGAGGATTTGATAAGTTTGTGACGATAAAGGAAGGTACTTGTCCAGCTGGCTTCTACCAGAGTCGGCCATCCAAGTGCTATGACGCCTGTAAAGACGAACATGAACCGATACATCTGATTCCACTGGCATTTAAGATCGTTTCTTTGGGAAACAATACCCATCCCACAATGCTGAGGTGCAAGCATGAAGATGGGTTCTACAATCCTAAGAACAAGTCATATAACAGATTCAATCAGGATGATTTTCAAAAGGATTTCTGCATTAATGTCAGAGATTTGAATCCCTGCAAAAGTGGACAGATGCCTTTGTACAGTAAGTGCTTGCTCTTTTAATCATTTTGCATGATTTTTAGCTGACCTGAGCATTGGAGCTTTGAGAATTGATGGCTAGAAATCCTCTTATCATTCTGATGCATGTATTTACAACCTTTCCATTCATTTATCCACATTGAATTTGGGCGTATGATAGTATCTTTAATTTTTATTTGATTGGACCTAAACTTGCATTGAACTTGCATAGAACATAGAAATTTAGTATAATACTTGTTATCAGTCCTTTCCTAACTGTAAGCCTGCTGGTGGCGACTGAATCTACCCATGTGACTTGGATTGTTTGCTGGAAATTAATCATATGACTTGACCATGAAACTGAAAAACTTTCCTTTAAAAACCCTTGAAGAATGCTAGAATTTAGCTCATAGATTTCTGTTGGTACCCTGCCAGTGCAGACCAAGATGTGCCAGACAACCATGCCATCTAATCATGGTCTGCACTATTCCCTTTTCTGTCAGAACATATTTTTTAATTTTTCCCTGAATTTTGTGAATGGTTTTGTCCAGATTGAAAGATGGATAAATCTGTTTAAGATATTTAGCATAATAAGGGTTAATAAATTATATTGCTCATTCATGTGTATAGTAGAAAAATGCAGCAGCTGTTCTGAAAAAACTGTGACAGATACAAGACATGTATTATTAATTATTTTATTTTCTGTCTCTCAAGATGGAACGTGTGTGAATCATTGCAGTCCTGGATATGTGAGAGATGATACAGACTTCTTTTGCAAATTGTAAGCAATCTTTTCTTATACACTCATTCAAATTGTAATTTCAAAATATTTCAAAATTTGGCAACACCTAAAAGAAGATTTGTTTTCTTTTAAGGTTTACCATGAAATATTCTCCTCAACTCTGAAATGTTTGGAAATCAATATGATTTGATGATAGAATTACCCATAGAATTTGAAGATTTAGTTGTGTGACTCTTTCTAGACAAGATAATGTAAACAAAACTATCTTACCAATTAGTTTGTGAAATTCTGTAGCTTTATTCATGCAAACTTATACTACCTCTTCAGTGCCTTTTGCAAATCAAGCGAATATTAAATGGGAGTGATAACTTGTTGAGTAACCGTAAATAGTGTGGTGATACATATATTCTTGTTCTTTTTTATGCCCCCATTTCGAAGAAAAGGGGGTATATTGCTTTGCACTTGTCGGTCCGTCGGTCTGTCGGTCCGTCGGTCCGTAGACCAAATGGTTTCCGAGTGATAACTAAAGAACCCTTAGGCCTAGGAACTTCAAACTTGGTATGGTGATTGGTCATGACCAGTAGATGACCCCTATTGATTTTGGGGTCAAGGGGTCAAAGGTCAAGGTCACATTGACCTTGTAAGCAAAAACGGTTTCCGATCAATAACTAAAGAACCTTTAGGCCTAGGAACTTCAAACTTGGTATGGTGATTGGTTATGATCAGTAGATGACCCCTATTGAGTTTTGGGGTCAAGGGGTCAAAGGTCAAGGTCACATTGACTTTTTGGGTAAAAACGGTTTCTGGTCAATTACAAAAGAACCTTTAGGCCTAGGAACTTCAAACTTGGTATGGTGATTGGTTATGACCAGTAGATGACCCCTATTGATTTTGGGGTCAAGGGGTCAAAGGTCAAGGTCACATTGACCTTGTAAGCAAAAAACGGTTTCCGATCAATAACTAGAAAACTTTAAGGCCTAGGAACTTCAAAACTTGGTATGGTGATTGGTTATGATCAGTAGATGACCCTATTGATTTTGGGGTCAAGGGGTCAAAGGTCAAGGTCACATTGACTTTTTTGGGTAAAAACGGTTTCTGGTCAATTACAAAAGAACCCTTAGGCCTAGGAACTTCAAACTTGGTATGGTGATTGGTCATGATCAGTAGATGACCCCTATTGATTTTAGGGTTAAGGGGTCAAAGGTCAAGGTCACATTGACCTTGTAGGTAAAAAACGGTTTCCGATCAATAACTAAAGAACTTTAAGGCCTAGGAACTTCAAACTTGGTATGGTGATTGGTCATGATCAGTAGATGACCCCTATTGATTTTGGGGTCAAAGGTCAAGGTCACATTGACCTCTTAGGTAAAAAAGGTTTCTGATCAATAACAAAAGAACCCTTAGGCCTAGGAACTTCAAAACTTGGTATGGTGATTGGTCATGACCAGCAGATGACCTATTGATTTTGGGGTCAAGGGGTCAAAGGTCAAGGTCACACATTGACCTTGTAGGTAAAAACGGTTTCCGATCAATTAAGTAAAAAACGCTTAGGCCTAGGAACTTCAAAATTTGTATGATGATTGGTCGTGACCAGCAGATGACCCCTATTGAGTTTTGGGTCAAGGGGTCAAAGGTCAAGGTCACATTGACCTTGTAAGTAAAAACGGTTTCTGATCAATAACTAAAGAACCCTTAGGCCTAGGAACTTCAAATTGGTATGGTGATTGGTCATGACCAGCAGATTACCCCTATTGAGTTTTGGGATCAAGGGTCAAAGGACAAGGTCCACATTGACATTGTAAGTAAAAACGGTTTCTGATCAATAACTAAAGAACGCTTCGGCCTAGGAACTTCAAACTTGGTTTAAATGGTGATTGGTCATGACCAGCAGATGAACTATTGATTTTGGGTCAAGGGTCAAAGGTCAAGGTCACATTGACCTTGTAGGTAAAAATGGTTTCCGATCAATTAACTAAAAACGCTTAGGCCTAGGAACTTCAAACTTTGTATGATGATTGGTCATGACCAGCAAATGACCCCTATTGAGTTTTGGGTCAAGGGGTCAAGGTTAAGGTCATGACCAGTAGATACTTGATAACCCTTATTAATTGTTTGATCACTGGGTCAGATGTCATGCATAATAACCTTATCACATGACTTATTGGCTGCTGATAGGGGGCATACATGTTTTACAAACATATCTTGTTTAGAAATGGAACATTAGAGCATGCAGGCAACAATTCATCAGAGGCAGGGCCAAAAAAAGAGATAGAAGTTGGGAAAGAAGAGGGAAAAGGTAAAGTATCAGTCAGGATCTGTCATGTTTTATGATACTGATTTTTAGGATGGCTGGCTATGTATTATTTACTCTTTGCTGCTGCCATTATTTGTCCAGCTAGTTTACAGAAGACTGTACAATCCACTGTGTTGTATGTTCAAAGTTCACCTGAGTGACTAGTGTACTTCTGGGCTTTTAGAATTAAGGGATCTTCCTCTTTCCAAAATTTTTGTCTGCAGAATTTTCTGAAGTTAAAAAAATTTGAGGCCTTCCCAAAATTTAATTTCGTCTTTTCGGGACATTAAAACTGCGAATTCATGGGAAACCCGAATATCTTTAAAAATTTTAATCTTAAATAATTTTCCCAATTTTGTGCTTTTATAATTTGTTTAAAACAGTGAAAATTTTTTTGTTTGTGTTTTTTTGTATTATTTTGTTTAAAAAAATAAAAAAAATTAAAACTGATCAGAAGTCAAAAAATTTTTTCGACGCACACTGTGAAAAAAACCCTTGAATAACTGGCATTCTTATGTTTGCCATAATCTGTCTGCTAGACATGTCTTTGTTTTGTACAGTAGCGTTTTATTTGACACCAGGTATTGAAAAATAAAAAACTGTTAACTTCCACAATGATAATAGTAATCTACCTTACTTTTTTAACCTGAGCGATCAATGCAAATTTATGATTTGCTGCAGTCACCTCCCCGAATTCAATATAGGGTGAATATTGTTTAGACCCCAAAAATGGACCTTTCCGCGAAAATTTGCTTACGCGAATTCAAATACACATACAGTAATGTATTGATTCCAAGTTATACATACCAGTTTGATGTGACCTAACTTTGTGCTCCTGGCAAGTTAAATGAGTTGACTGTAGGCCTGTGGCATTCAATTTTTAGCTTGACTAATTGTAAGTTTTCTGTTAGGTTACTTTAATATGTTATTTCTAGATGGTGACAGTGACTTTCAGAGAAGCAAGGAGGGAAATAAATCCGGGCATCCCAATCAGTTTCCAGGGTATTTTATAGTTATATGTATAATAGGTAAGAATATCATGTTTATTACAATATATTACAATTATTAATGAAAAGATTCGGTCTGTGACCATAGAATAAGGAGCCATGGCTCCATAGTCCATTTTGGAAAATAGGTAAAGGAACTACACTGAGGTATAAAAGCCTGAAAAACATACAATTTGAATTTTTACATAGATCAGCTTGAGCACTTTGCGATTTGCAAAAGATTATGTATTTTTACCCATTCTATGCCCAATTTCAGTGAAAAGGATTGGAATACTTTTAAATTTTGGGTCATTTTTATACACCCAAAAAAAACTTGCTGATCATGTTATGGACCTGGTCCTCTGTCTGCTAGCTCTGTGTCAGGTCTATATCTTTTGAACTGTTGGAAGAAAATTGAAACTACTTGGCAAAAAATTTAGTTATAATGAGACGGTGTGCAGGACACAGGTTTCGGCCTCCCTGAGATCAAAGTTGGTCTCGCCCTGTGGATTTCTTGAGTATTTAAGTTTCATTGTGTGAAACTACAATGTCTAGAGCTAAGATACACATGTATTTAGCATGTATCATTGCCTTATTGACCTTTGCAAAACTGATATGAATCATGCCCCTTGATTCAATAATGGCCCAGCCCTTGGGGTCATTTGATTTAACATATCTGAGACTTTCTTTGTGAAATAACTATGCCCAGAGGTAAATAAATGTTATTAATCATGCCTGTTGGGTCAATATTCCCCCCCCCCCCCCCCCCCCCCCCTGGTCACTTAGTATATATATTTTTGTGTAGGAAAACAAATAGAGTTAAGATATTTGACATGTTGCAGTGTCTTTGTTGTCCTCTACAAAACTAGTATTATAAATGCCCCTTGTGTCATTGTTGGCTTCGCCCCTGGGTTCACTTAGTAGATATAGTCTTGTATGTGGAAACACATTTCAGCCTCATTTTGTGAAACTACAATGCCAAAACTAAGATATTTAGTATGTAGCATTACCTTGTGAACATCTGCAAAACTGATATCAATCATGCCCCTGGGGTCAAAATTGGCCCGCTCCAAGGTCACTTAATTATAGCAAAACACAGTTAAGTCTTATTTTATGAAACTACAAAGCCTAGAGCTTGGATATTTGGCAATCAGTTTGTAGATTTCTACAAAAGTGAAATTAATCATGACTCTCGGGTCTAATTTGGTTCTGCTACGGGAGTCACTAGACTAGGCTAAAGTACAGGAAAACAATTTTATCTTTTTGTGGATAAATATTTGCCTCTGTATTTGGCATTTAGCATTGCCTAGTAGAGCACTATAGAAATTTTATGAATCTTGCACTTAGGGTAAAAAATGCCTTCACCTTGGAGGTCATATAGTATCATAACAATAAAAAAGATCAAACATTTTTCAACCATGTCTCTTGATTGGGTCTCTACCCTAATTGAATCATTATTTTTGATTACTTAAAACAAATTAACATTCAGGCGTATTTTGCCCCACCTTTGCAGTGCTCTTTGTTCACTTTAAAAATAAAAATCATTCTGGAAAAACAGAGGGAGGAAATGATCTGAAATTTTGCACACAAGTGATTGGTCTAGACCTACATCAAATGGAACATAAATCTTGAAATATATTATATTCTGTCCCCCTCATGTTGAGAAACCTTAGTGGAGTCCCTTTAACCGTTTTTGTTTTTTTTTGGTGGTGGGGGCATTTTATCAAGAAAACTTAATGACCTAAGCTTACCTTGTTGCCAGCTTCTTGAAACAACTAAAATTAGGCTGTCATCAGATTATACAATTCAGTTTGGTTTGAATGACTTTAGCTCAGAACTCTTCTGTAGATGTATAATGATTTAGATTTATAATTGTTTGTTTTTTTCTCTTTAAAGGGTTTGTTATTATTCTGGTTGTCTTGCTGGTAGTATTAATAAAAGTGTTCTGCTTTCCAAACAGAAGTGGTAAGTTGCGTATGTACTTCAACCATGTGTGTGGGTGCGTGTGTGCGTGTTTTATTTTGTATTTCCACAATTATTGATAGATAAATGAATATATTCTGGTTGTCAACAAATATTAAAACGTGATAAAAAACATTTAACTTAACTACTGATGTGGAACAAGTTAGATTTGTAAAACATGCATATAAAGGGCTTAGTGCGAGTGTTGTAACCCATATGATATAACGATGGAGTTACAACACTTTTGCACTAAGCAGTTGATATGAACTTCATTAGTATTCAATACTCCATAGATGCAATTCATTTTAAAAAATTCAGCATGTTAAATTTTTCTTATTTTATCTTGCCAAATTATAAATCAATTGTTTTAAGAACTTATATTTCTGGATATTTTTCGCTTAAAATAGTTTAATGTATCATATAGTTTCTGTTGTATTTTTTTCTCAGAAACATCTGGTGCCTATTCCCAAGTGCCTACAGATTCTAAGACATCATCTGAAGTTACACTTGAAGGTAATATATGAGCATCATATTTTTAATTTGAATATTTTACTGTAACAAATTATCAGATCAAGCACAAATATTTGATTTCAAGCATACATATAGTTGGTGGAGCTAAGTTCCCTGAGGTTATAAAACTCTTCTCTCAAATCTTAGGATTTTCATCGGTCAGTGTACATTTTGTGGGAATAACTGACCAGTCATATACCTGAGATCTGAGCTTGAGCTTTGGGAATTTCTTTGTAACCTTGGACCCAGGAATCAGTATCTATGAGTTCATTTGGTAGACAATCCTGTGTGGTTAAATTTTGTGGTACATTATCTTCTTTCATGTGAAGAAACATTTTAACTAGCATATATCTGCATGTACTGCTAACAGTCGTTGGAACCTCCTTTGTGGACTCCTTGAATTCTTGCATTGATTGACACCTGAAGTTGCCTCTAACAGCTATGAGTTTAATCCTGCCAGGGACTTTGGATTTTTTCATGAGAGGAAGCTATTAAGCTGTCTTTCAGGACATTTGTGGTTCTACTCCAATGCCCATTTTTTCCTTAATTATTTACCGTCACCATGTGCCCTTTGCAGTATTGGTGCGATATAAAACCAAATGGTTAAAAAAAGTTATAATAGGTATAAATTGTTAAACCATTATCATTGCAGGTACTGACAAAGGCAAGTCTGGGGATGTTGAAAGTATTAGTTTGGACACTTTCTCAACTTCGGAAGGTTATCAGAGTTCATTATCTATATAAAATATATATATAATTACATATGTTCGGCCATTTGATTGGTCACTGCCCCATACAATCTAAACTGCATTTCTTTTACATGTAACGTGTTTAAACATTATACAATATGATTCTTATAACATTCTTTTCCCTAAAAAAGATGCATATATAAGTAGAAGGGAAAAAGGCCAGGACACAGTAGAATGTACATTATAAGTGGTACCTTGTTAAATGGGATCTTGTTATAAATTGAGAAGACTGTATGTAGTAACATTTTGTAGGAAGATTTTGAAATTTGGAGACAAAATTAGTTATGGAATTTACATTTGGATGAGTGCTGAAAATATGGGCAGCAAGTTGCAAACCTTTAATACCTTTAATAAATATACAGTAAAAAGCCACAAGACCACTAACGGGACTGGACCAAAGTGGTCTTAGTTGCCGGATGGTACCAATTTAGATTACTCATATCATTGCTTACATACTTTATGGCCAGCGTCTATTTTAGGTATTTTGTTTGAACAAACAATATGTATTTTAATCTACTAGTACATGTACTTTTTTTCCTTTTTTTGAATTGAAAGAAATCTATACACAAAAAAAGCAAAAGTGCAGTTCAGATTGTTTGGGAAAGGTTGTGGGTTGTGGATGGCTTAGGGCATTGTGGGTAGTGAGCAATCAAAGCCTTGGGCACCTTTAGGTATAACTAAAAACAGACAAAATCTTTGTTAGGAAAGTATGATATGATATTGATCATTAAGTATTCTATCTACGAATTTCATGCATTATTTACTTTAAGCTAATCTGTTGTGCCATATTTTGTAATACAACTTTTCTGTAATCAAAGTTATACTTAATGTTCATTAGATTTACTTGGATGATATCAAACAAATTTTGAAGTGTGACACTATTAATCTAGTTTAAAATTTATTTTCATAATGAAATTGAAACTTAAAGTTATCTACATAGCACAAGTTCAATCTTTTTGCTACAAATCTTGTAGTAGGTTTAGAATATTTAAACAATATCATTGCAGGTACTGAGAAAGGCAAGTCCAGGGATGTTGAAAGTAATAGTTTGGACACTTTATCAACATCAAAAGGTTACCAGAATTTATTATCAATAAATGGTTATTATAGGCCTCTGATTTTTAGGAGGATTATAAAATTTAGTTGTGGATCTTGATCAATATATCTGAGTACCTGTGTCTATTTATTTTGAAAACTTGGCAAGAATATATACACTGCCGTCCGTTATATGAGCCCCTTTATAACGCTAGCCTCAGTATTACGCTTGTACACCTTGACTCCAGAAAGATTATTTCATGTAGATTTAAAACAAGCTGTATCAGCTATAATGTTTGTTCAATGTGACATACAAGGATTGCTGAATTAAGTAAACCACACAAGCCCAAAATTAATTTAAACAGCCTTTTTATTGAATGGCAAAGAAAAAGTTTGTGACAGGAATAAATGGCGTTTGATTAATTATGAGACACAGTTATGTCCCTTCGTAACTTAGAGAATCACTCTAAAGAAAAGTCATTTTTAAGCCATTTTTTCCAATTTGCTGATTTCCTTGTTATTAATAACATATTTCATAAACATCCTTTGTCTAGATTAAGGGCACATTAAGGCTCAGAAATGAATAATTTTAATTAAAAGGGCAAACATGTGTTTTTTAATGTTTAACTAATGTTTAAGTGCTTCTTACATGAATAATAAGGGGTGAGTGTAAAATTGTTTGTCATAAAAATATCAAAATGTAAATAAAGTAGCATTTTGACTTTTACAAGAAATACTTAATCATTATATTTTTACTAATTGCCAAAGAGAAACAGAAGCAAAAGATGGAGTAATTGGTTGATGCGTTACTTTTCTATAACAGTACACCAAAAATGAAATAAGTTTTTGAGAAGTAAAAATAAACTGGGGCATAATGGGACTTTAAAGTTTTGTAAATACTACAAATAAAGTGGTAGTTCTTAGCTAGAATAAAAGTAAGATATATTCAGAAAAGGCATCTGTTACCTTCACTTATAAAGCTGGGACATCACTGTATAGAAATATGCCTCTGAAAATTGTCAAGTGTGACAAAAATTTATGGGATAACAAATGTTCTTTCAGATGGTGATGATGCGAGTGATTCTCCATCAGACGAAGAAAGTGAAAGTAAAGTTGATGATGAATTATTTCCAAAAGAAGCCATTGACATACAGACTTTGGCAGAGGAAGAGATTAGCCCAGTGAAGTCTTCTTCATCTAGTAAATATAGAATAATATTTCTCTTGACACTATCTTTTTTTAGAGAATATGATCTGTTTTTAATTGTCTTATGCTAAGTAATAAAAAACAGATTTTTTTATCTTGCCAGGTTGTATTTTAAATTTTAAAGGACAAAATGCCATTGACATTATGTAATTTTTTGTCACCATAGGTCTGGCACTATTTGAAATTACTTGCTATTGTTGGATTTGACTTGCTCAAACAGCTTTTGCAGTTAAATGATTTTTTGCTGATTTACGGCCCTTGAATAAAAAAAGCTTTTTGGCATGTTATTAGTTAATGATTTTTGTGTTGCCAGTAGCTGATATATGCTAGTTGTCACAACTTCTGCGTCATCTGTCTGTCCCTTCTTCTGTTTGTTCATCATAAACTTTGTTCAGAGCACTCTTCAACGACAACTGGTGCAGTTTCATTCAATCTACAGGACTGATCAGTAGCAAATTTAGTTGTGCATATTTTATAACTTATCACTCTTGTATGTTTCAGAGAGTTCAGGCTTTAAAGTAAAGAAGAAATATGACAATAATCTATTTATTGCGATTGATAAAGTTGGAACATTAAACTTTGGGTCTGTGTCCAGTAACAAGGACACAAGTGGTCTCATGAAAAGTCTATGTGATGGACTACAAATACCGGAAGAATCTGTGGTTTGTATTTTATTTCTTTTAGGGTTGTGAGCCCACTTGAATTTAGAAAAAGAAGTCAGTACTAAAATGTTTATGCCCCCGCTGTTTAATTGTTGGGGTATATAGTGTTACCCCGTTCTGTCATTCCGTCATCATCAGCTTCCGTTAATTTTCTTGGCAACAATTGCAAGCATTCAACTCAAATTTGACATATGGATATATCATAGGAAAATGCAGGCCAAGTTCAAATTTGGTTATGGTTTGCAACTTGAAGATATTTTCAGACTAAATGTATGTATAAGGTTAAAATCGTATGTACTGGTATTTAACCACGAAATACAAGTCAAAATCGAATTTAGTTTTGGTTCTATGATTTTTGTGTCGCCTTGAAAAAGGCGACATATAGGGGTAACTTTTGTCGGCGGCGTCGTTGTCGTCGTCGTTGTCGGCGTCGGCGTCCCCTAAAGCTTGTCCGGAGCATAAGTCAGTCATTATAAGTCGGATTGACTTCAAACTTGGTATGCATGCTTCTCATAATGACCCGAAGTGCAGTGCACAAGAACAAGTACTCTGTACTCCTTATTTTTTGAGTTATTGCCCTTTGTTTATTTTCATACTTTATTTTTGTCCGGGCCATTTCTCCTTAAGTATAAAATATTTGGACTTGAAACTTCATAGGATGATAGATCTCATTAAGAAGAAGTGCAGTGTACAACAACTGGTACTCTGCATTTCTTATTTTTTGAGTTATTGCCCTTTGTTAATTTTCATACTTTATTTTTGTCCAGGCCATTTCTCCTAAAGTATAAAAGCTATGGACTTGAAACTTTATAGGATGATAGATCTCATTAAGAAGAAGTGCAGTGCACAAGAACTGGTACTCTGCATTTCTTATTTTTTTGAGTTATTGCCCTTTGTTAATTTTCATGACTTCATTTTTGTCCAGGCCTTTTCTCCTAAAGTATAAAAGCTATGGACATGAAACTTCATAGGGTGATAGATCTCATTAAGAAGAAGTGCAGTGCCCAAAAACTGGTACTCTGCATTTCTTATTTTTTGAGTTATTGCCCTTTGTTAATTTTCATACTTTATTTTTGTCCAGGCCATTTCTTATAAATTATAAAATCTTTAGACTTGAAACTTAATAGGATGATAGATTTTATTGATAAGAAGTGCAGTGCACAGAAACTGCTGATCTGCATTTCTTATTTTTTGAGTTATTGCCCTTTGTTGATTTTCAAATTTCATTTTTGTCTTTGCCATTTTTCTCTTAAACTATATTGTTCACAAGGCGACACATCCGACTCGCGGAGTTATAGTTGACAAAGTTATCCGTCTTGAACCTAGAAATAATAAGAAATTTTCAGTTTCTTTTGTAGTATGTCTGAGGTTGACATTGCATGTGCTGGTATTTTACCAGAAAATACAAGTCAAGTTCTAATTTGGTCATGGTCAGATGTCTTTTTGACAGTAAACCCGCTTGATCTTGGAAAAGATTTAAGAATTCAGAATTTCTAATCATTATCTTGGCTACAAATATGCAATTTACAAAAAGTTGATGCTGAATAGTTTAAGGGCCTCAAAAAATGGTTTGTGTTAACGTTAGTAGTTTAAAGGGCCTTAAACTTAGAATGAAAAAATGGTTTGTGCAAACAAATTTGGAAGAAAATATTATTATAACATTTGAAATGCGCAAGCATTACGGCACATTACTAGTTTTCAGTAACAGCAGATCTGTCATGTTTTTGTGCTGATTGCAATATGTTTTGTCATATTAACTGTGCAGTTAACATTGCAATAACAGTTCACCTAACTAGCTTTCCTAGATAACCAACATTAAATTACCAATTTCTCTGCAATTCATCAAATACTTATCCTGTATAAGGTTTTTAGCTCGACTATTCGATAAGAATAAGTAGAGCTATTGTAGTCACCCGAGCGTCTGCGTCGGCGTAACCACTTATGTTAAAGTTTTAGTAATAGTTCAAATATTTTCAAAGTCCATTGACATATGGCTTTGAAACTTTGCACACTTGTTCACCATCATTACCCCAACCTGTAAACAGGAGGAGGTAACTGTATCAAGCATTTTGACAGAATTATGCCCCTTTTTCGACTTAGAATTTCGTTAAAGTTTTTGTAATAGTTCAAATATTTTCAAAGTCCATTGACATATGGCTTTGAAACTTTGCAAACTTGTTCACCATCATTACCCCAACCTGTAAACACGAGGTGGTAACTGTATCAAGCATTTTGACAGAATTATGCCCCTTTTTTGACTTACAATTTACGTTAAAGTTTTTGTAATAGTTCAAATATTTTCAAAGTCCATTGACATATGGCTTTGAAACTTTGCACACTTGTTCACCATCATTACCCCAACCTGTAAACAGGAGGAGGTAATTGTATCAAGCATTTTTTTTTACTATCAAGCACTAAGAATAGTCGAGCGTTGCTGTCCTACCGACAGCTCTTGTTTAATCAGCCTGTAGTCTAAAATGTCCAGGAACATAACGTCAGAGAGAAATTTGCCTTTCCTTAAGGATCGAACCAGTGACCTCTGGATAAGAAATCTGATGCTCTCCCTATTGAGCTAACTAGGCAGACTCTGAGATTAATTGATCATAGCAATGACAGTGAATAGTATCTGTCATATGTTGCCGTACAGATGCCGTATGTTGCCGGTCGAATATGAATCTGTTTTTAATCAGTTATCAAGATAAAAGTTTTTAAGACTTGAGTTTTATTATTTTGTATTCTAACACGATCTGCATTTTTCCTTATTAAATATAGAAGAACCAAAAGTGTGTGTTATTATGCAATAAAATCACTGTTGACGTTCTATATTTAGATATATGAAGTAATCATTATACATGTGATGTAACCACACAAGAAATTGACGCACTGAAAATAAGTACGGAAACAAATCAGGCGTAATTTTGCTTAATATCAGGTACAGCAGCATTTATTTGTTGATGTGTTGAGGTCTTAGAATCTAAATAATATATCCAAATCGATGATTTTATCGCTTGATAACATCACTGTTTGTCATTCGGATGCGCAACATTATATCACTTGGGCTACACCTTGTGATATATTCCTCACATCCAAACTCCAAACAGTGATGATATTGAGCGATAAAATTACTGTTTGAGATATATTATTTCTTAATTCACTAGTTCCTGAGAACAATATTGTTTAAATATAGTAAACTGATGAATAACAAAGGATAATGGTTAATTCAGTGTTACATCTCTTACAGAAAAGTTTCTTTGTAAAGAAAATGGACTCGGAGAAGATAGTTAGTGAAAAAGGTGAGTTGTACACTTTTATTTAGCTTGTCTGTTTCAAAGAAAAAACTATTTTGAAAGCTGTGACTTTGTTGTCATAATTGTGCAAAAACTTCAACATCTAGTTGGCAACATATCTAATGCCATTTATATAGAGAGGTTGGAAAACAGATTCAAAAAGATCGGTGAGTACAAAATTTTGACTTTTTGGAAGGTGAAAGCCCATTGTTATAATTATGATTAAATACCTTAAAAACATAATATGTTTGACCAGAACAATGATATCTGTCATATGTTGCGGTTCTGATATAAAATTGTCTCCCCATTTGGGTTTCTGAGTTAAGACCCATGGGCAGGTACTACATGTACTAGAGGGATACGTAAACACATGACAGTTATTTTTTTTATTAATAAATTGAACCATATTATAAATGGTTTTCCTTAGTACATTAATTGGTCATTAAGAACGCAGTTTATTCATGAAATGCACTAAGATTTGTTTATTTCGGAGCATTTAACTCACCTAGCACTGAAATTTCCAGCATCGGTTAAACTAACAGAATCACCAGTCTGAATTGCATGAACAAACATTTACTACTAACTATTACAGATGAGGAAGGAAATGGACAAGAAGAAGAATTATCGCAGGATGTTGAAATACTGACACCAAAAGTGGGAGGAAATGTGACATCAGAAGTGGATAGAGGGGCCGGGGAGGAATTTGCAAGCCCATACAGTAAAACCCTGACACAGCTTGTTGTTAATGGGTTTGCTGAACACATGAAATCAGTGGGGGCCCTGATTTACAACGGAGAAGTCATTGGAACTGTCTCCCGAGCAGGCGACGATTATCTTATTACAGCTTCCCATGTAATAAGAAGAATAATTGGTAGGTACTTAAATGTTGTGTTCATGAAATTAATGCATAGAAGGGTATCCAATGCCGTTTTGTGTCGCCTTGAAAAGGCGACATATAGAGGTTACTTTTGTCGGCGTTGCCGGTGTCGGCGTCCCCTAAAGCTTGTCCAGAGCATAACTCAGTCACCTTAAGTCTGATAGACTTCAAGCTTTGTATGCATGCTTCTTTCAATAACCCGAAGTGCAGTGCATAAGGACCAGTACTCTGCAGTTCTTAATTTTTGAGTTATTGCCCTTTGTTAATTTTCATACTTCAATTTTGTCCGGGCCATTTCTCTTCAACTAAAGAAGCAATGGACTTGAAACTTCATAGGATGACAGATCACTTTAAGAAGAAGTACAGTGCACAAAAACCGGTACACTGCATTTCTTATTTTTTGAGTTATTGCCCTTTGTTAATTTTCATACTTTATTTTTGTCCGGGCCATTTCTCCTTAAGTATAAAAGCTATGGACTTGAAACTTCATAGGATGATAGATCTCATTAAGAAGAAGTGCAGTGCACAAAAACCGGTACTCTGCATTTCTTATTTTTTGAGTTATGGCCCTTTGTTAATTTTCATACTTAATTTTTGTCCTGGCCATTTCTCTGAAAGTATAAAAGCTATGGACTTGAAACTTCATAGGATGATAGATCTTATTAAGAAGAAGTGCAGTGCACAAGAACTGATACTCTGCATTTCTTATTAGTTGACTTTTCGAAGAATATGAGAGCTATTGTAGTCGCGTCGGCGTCTGCGTTGGTTAAAGTTTTTTGTAAAGTCAAATATCTCAATTATTGCTTGAGATATTCAATTGAAACTTACAATACTTATTTATAGTAACAAGGTACATCAGATTGACATGTTGGATAACTCTGCCTACAATATTGACATAATTATGCCCCTTTTTAGCTCGACTTTTTTAAAAAAGTAGAGGTATTGTTATAGTTGCGGCGGCGTTGCCGTCCACAAACTTGTACCTGGATCATAACTTTTTTATTTCTTGGTGTATTGTCTTCATACTTGGCCACAACAACTCTTGGGACAAGACCTTTCAGTAGACCACACTAACCTTGACCTTCATCCATAAATGACCTTGACCTTCGTGGTTAAAAGTCCAAATTTTGCTTGTACATGCTGTTTTTGGCTGTAACTTTGTTATTTTTAGCTCGACTATACGAAGTATATGGAGAGCTGTCCTACTCGCCCCGGCGTCGGCGTCCGCGTCCAGATTTTAGATTAAAGTTTTGGTGCAGTAAAATATTTTTCACTATAACTTTGTCATTTCTTAAGATATCAACTTCAAACTTCAAATATATGTTCCTTATCATCAACCACATCTTATGTGACAAGGGTCATAACTCTAGCACCAATGTTTTCAGATTTATCTCCCCTTGAACTTAGAATTTTCCTTAAAAAATACTATTTTTAACTGATACTTCTTTATTTCTTAAGGGATCAACCTCATACTTCAAATATATGTACCTTATCATCATCCCCATCTTATGTGACAAGGTTCTTAACTCTAGCACCAATATTTTCAGATTTATCTCCCCTTGAACTTAGAATTTTCCTCAAAAAATAATATTTCTTACTGTTTCTTCTTTATTTCTTAAGGGATCAACCTCATACTTCAAATATATTTACGTTATCATCATCCCCATCTTATGTGACAAGGTTCATAACTCTAGCACCAATATTTTCAGATTTATCTCCCTTTGAACTTAGAATTTTCCATAAAAAATGTTATTTTTTACTGTAACTTATTTATTTCTAAAGGGATCAACTTCATACTTCAAACATATTTACGTTATCATCATCCACATCTTATGTGACAAGGTTCATAACTCTAGCACCAATATTGCAAGAATTATCTCCCCATAAACTTAGATTTATTTACTAGAAAAATGTTATTTTTTATTTTAACTTTTTTACTTTTAAAGGTATCTACCTCAAACTTCAAATACTTATTCCTTATCATCAGTTACATTTTATGTGACAATGTTCATAACTCGTGAAGCAATATTAACAGATTTATCTCTCTTTGAACTTAGGATTTTCTTTAAGAAACATAATAACTTCTTTACTTTTTAAGGTATCTACTTCAAACTTCAAATATATATTTCTTATCATTACACAAATGTTGTGTGGCAAGATCCATAACTCTAGCATGACTATTTCTAGAATTATTCCCCTTGATCTTGGAATTTATGTTAACAAATGTTATTTTTAGCTCACCTGTCACAAAGTGACAGGGTGAGCTTTTGTGATCGCTTTTCGTCCGGCGTCCGTCCGTCCGTCGTCCGTCCGTCCGTAAACTTTTGCTTTAAATGACATCTCCTCATAAACCACTGAGCCAATTTCATCCAAACTTCACAGGAATGTTCCTTTGGTGGTCACCTTTAAAAATTGTTCAAAGAATTTAATTCCATACAGAACTCTGGTTGCCATGGCAACCGAAAGAAAAATCTTTAAATATCTTCTTTTAAACAACCCTAAGAGCTAGAGCTTAGATATTTGGCATGAAACATCTTCTAATGAGTGTCTACCAAGTTTGTTCAAATAAAAGCCCTGGGGTCAAAATTGGCCCCGCCCAAGGGGGTCATAGATTTTCCCTATATGCATATAGTAAAAACTTAAAAAATCTTCTTTTAAAGAACCCAAAGAGCTAGAGCTAAGATATTTGGCATGAAACATCTTCTAGTGAGTGTCTACCAAGTTTGTTCAAATAAAAGCCCTGGGGTCAAAATTGGGCCCGCCCCGGGGGGTCATTGATTTTCCCTATATGCATATAGTAAAAACTTAAAAAATCTTCTTTTAAAGAACTGTAAGAGCTACAGCTTAGATATTTGGCATGAAACATCTTCTAGTGAATGTCTACCAAGTTTGTTCAAATATAAACCCTGGGGTCAAAATTGGCCCCGCCCCAGGGGGTCATTGATTTACCCTATATGCACATAGTAAAAACTTAAAAAATCTTCTTTTAAAGAACCCAAAGAGCTAGAGCTTAGATATTTGGCATGAAACATCTTCTAGTGAATGTCTATCAAGTTTGTTCAAATAAAAGCCCTTGGGTCAAAATTGGCCCCGCCCCAGGGGGTCATTGATTTTCTCTATATGCATATAGTAAAAACTTAAAAAATCTTCTTTTAAAGAACCCAAAGAACTAGAGCTAAGATATTTAGCATGAAACATCTTCTAATGAGTGTCTACCAAGTATGTTCAAATAAAAGCCCTGGGGTCAAAATTGGCCCCGCCCCAGGGGGTCATTGATTTTCTCTATATGCATATAGTAAAAACTTAAAAAATCTTCTTTTAAAGAACCCAAAGAGCTAGATCTAAGATATTTAGCATGAAACATCTTCTAGTGAATGCCTACCAAGTTTGTTCAAATAAAAGCCCTTGGGTCAAAATTGGCCCGGCCCCAGGAAGTCATTGATTTTCTCTATATGCATATAGTAAAAACTTAAAAAAATCTTCTTTTAAAGAACCCAAAGAGCTAGAGCTAAGATATTTAGCATGAAACATGTTCTAATGGGTGTCTACCAAGTATGTTCAAATAAAAGCCCTGAGGTGGAAACTGGCCCGCCCGGGGGGTCATTGATTTTCCTTATATGTGTATAGCAAAAACTTAAAAATCTTCTTTGAAAAAAACTCAAATAGCTAGAGTTTAGATATTAAGCATAAAACATCTTTAAGTAAATATCTACAAAGTTTGTTCAAATAAAAGCCCGGGGGTCAAAAACTGGCCCTGCCCCAGGGGTGTCATTGTTTTTAACTATATGTGTATAGTAAAAACTTAAAAAATCTTCTTTTAAAAAACCCAATGAGCTAGAACTTAGATGTTTAGCATGAAACATCTTCTTATGGGTATCTACCAAGTTTGTTCAAATAAACAAATAAAAGCCCTTGGGTAAAAATTGGCCCGGGGGGGGGGGGGGGGGGCTATATACAGGTGAGCGACCTCAGGGCCATCATGGCCCTCTTGTTTTACTAAAACTTAATACATAATTATACATAATTGATTTTTCTTTCATAGTTTTGTCCTCCTTACTGTGTCCAGTATTTTATTATGCCCCTATTTCGAAGAAAGGGGGTATATTGCTTTGCACTTGTCGGTCCGTCGGTCCTTAGACCAAATGGTTTCCGAGTGATAACTAAAGAACCCTTAGGCCTAGGAACTTCAAACTTGGTATGGTGATTGGTCATGACCAGTAGATGACCCCTATTGATTTTGGGGTCAAGGGGTCAAAGGTCAAGGTCACATTGACCTTGTAAGCAAAAACGGTTTCCGATCAATAACTAAGAACCTTAAGGCCTAGGAACTTCAAACTTGGTATGGTGATTGGTCATGACCAGTAGATGACCCTATTGATTTTGGGGTCAAGGAGTCAAAGGTCAAGGTCACATTGACCTTGTAAGCAAAAACGGTTTCCGATCAATAACTAAAGAACCTTAAGGCCTAGGAACTTCAAAACTTGGTATGGTGATTGGTCATGACCAGTAGATGACACCTATTGATTTTGGGGTCAAGGGGTCAAAGGTCAAGGTCACATTGACCTTGTAAGCAAAAACGGTTTCCGATCAATAACTAAAGAACCTAAAGGCCTAGGAACTTCAAACTTGGTATGGTGATTGGTCATGACCAGTAGATGACCCCTATTGATTTTGGGGTCAAGGGGTCAAAGGTCAAGGTCACATTGACCTTGTAAGCAAAAACGGTTTCCGATCAATAACTCAAGAACCTTAAGGCCTAGGAACTTCAAACTTGGTATGGTGATTGGTCATGATCAGTAGATGACCCCTATTGATTTTGGGGTCAAAGGTCAAGGTCACATTGACCTCTTAGATAAAAACGGTTTCCGATCAATAACTAAAGAACCCTTAGGCCTAGGAACTTCAAACTTGGTATGGTGATAGGTCATGACCAGCAGATGACCTATTGATTTTGGGGTCAAGGGGTCAAAGGTCAATGTCACATTGACCTTGTA